GATGACACTTAACATTTCTGCATAATTCAATGCTGAAGATGTGAACACAGTCAGAGTGGTGACAGGAAATATTGTCATCTTACTTACTATTTAATGCAACCAGTGAACCTACACATCATCTGAGCTTTTATACAAAAGGCTGAAATAGTGGTATATTACCCTGCATCATGAATGGCTGCAAAAAGCACATTTCTCAGGCATCAGTCAATGTATTTGCAGCTTATTTAGGGATTAAACCTTTTGGACATCTGGTTCCCATGAACAATTCTGACTTTGTGAACTTTTCTGGAACACAGCTCAAACCACTCTGAACGACTCCGTTTACAACCTAACAATGTAATTAGGCAGAAATGTTGAACAATCTGTGGAAATTCCCATTAAAAAAATGACCCCACATATCCCACACTGTGAAAACATCTCCAAATATTGCATTATTTTTCACTTTCTCACCCACCCTAGCTGCAGTCTCATGGCTGGGTCAGTCTTGAAAGCATCTAATTGTTGCTTTTGTTGACTGGCACTTTAAGAGCCATGCCCAATCTCTGGTGGCCACTTCTAATGTTCCCTTTATAACCAAACCACTGCTCACTTCACTGTAGTTCAGTACCAATAGTTTAAAGCAGAAATGTCATATTCCAGCCAAGAACACTATCACACTTACAAAGAAATAGTCAGAAAAGACTCAAACAAACATAAGATTCCTTCAAAATGAAATGCTGCCAAAAGAAAAAGCTTGTAACTGTAAATAAGCAGCAGAAACTCACGAAGGCACTAAAACTGTCCGGTGGAAACTGGAGAATGGCAAGGTTCACATGGGTATGGCAAAGTATAGGCTGCAATTCCCCCAGTCAAACCTATTCCTACACACTTAAAGATGGTTCTTCAAGGGTTCTTTAGTGAAGGCAATGGTCTATTTAGAACCATAAGTTCTACATAGGACCATGTCATGCTTAAATAGTTCTTTAGATTGATGGTGAATGTGTTGTATATTGTTCTAATTAATTTGCACCAAAAAGGGTAACTCTACTGTTTCAAGCTTGACATTATAACTGTAGCAGAACCCTTTTTTGGTGCTATACAGAACCAACACATTCTCCATCAATCTGAAGAATGATTTAAGCATGTAAGTAGTTCTTTGGTTCTGTATAGAACCACTAACACTCCGTGTCTTTAGTAAAGAACCATCTTTTTAAGAGTGTACACATTGAAAGGTGGTTCTTTAATAAAAGGTGATAGTTCTATATTTCCACTTTTCATGCTTAAATGGTTCTGTATATATGTTTTTGTTTTTTGTTTTTTTTTTTTATGTTTCTACATGGCACCAAAAAGTGTTCTTCTATTCTTACAAGTTTGACATCATAACAACTGCAGAACACTTTGGTGCTACAAAGAACCATATTCTCCATCAGTCTGAAGAACCATTTCACCATGCAGAGAAGCACTTAAGCATGAAATGGTTATATATAGAACTCAGGTTTCTAAGTAGGGCCATTGCCTTTCCTAAAGAACCCTTGAAGAACCATCTTTAAGTGTGTAGTTCTCTTTCTTGTGGCAACACACAAGCAAATCTGAACCCCAAACAGCTTCATACTGTTTATATAGTAAACTATAAGCGTCAGGAAACGTACATCCAGGTAAGTTACCTCAGTACATGTCGAGGTTTCAGCTAAAGAGAACGGTTTTGCTGGCTGACAAAACTGCAACGTCCCAAAAAAACAAATGAAGGCAACATAATGACACGTTGGCTGCCAAGAATAATGACAATGAAGCGTAATTAAGCGTAATTAAGCGTAATGACCACTTAGAAAAAAAAAAGTCTCAGACTTTAACAGCTCTCCAGCGAGTTACTTGTGAACTCATAGCACAGAAAGGCTGCAGCTGCAGCCTATGAATGAAACTGTTAATGAATGGCGAAACCTATAATCTTCCCCAAAATGAGTTTTTGAGGAAAAAAACTTAAGGAATGCCGAGTTACTCAGACCGTAGAAACCACAGCATTAGCCAAGTTCAACCGGTAAAGGGACCTCAAGCAAGAAAATAACGACTTTTAACGGACCAGCGTTACGGAAAATTGACGTTTAATTTGAATTCCTCAATTAGTTTTACAAGCAGTTTAGACACCTCAGCTCGTGTTAACTTCAAACCTGATAACACCCTTGAGTAGAAGAGCTCGAGAGCTGTATAATTACCTCCTGTGTGCCTTTCGTATCTCCAGACATTGTAAAAAGCCTTTTTTGTGCGGATTCTGTGAGCTCGGGAACGAATAACAGGCCGACTGCAAACCGAAGACTTGCGGAGTTTGCGTTAGTTACTCCTCTCAGCAGCGACCGTCTCCCCCTCTTGGATTTCTTTTTAGTAGGAGTCGGGTGCTACGTCATTCATCACGTGGGAAAAGTGACGCAGCGTCTTGGGGAACCGTATTTTTTTCTCCCACCCGTATTCAGTCATTCCCCGCCTATGTATGCTGGGATTGGCTAATAGTTCAGACTCCTGCGTTCCGATTGGCTAGAAGTTCGTGTTCGCTATTGATGGATGACACATCAGCCAATCCCAGCGCAGGGGGCGGGGTTTTAGGAATACGGGTGAGGAAAACTGAGGTGTGTCATGTACCTTGATGCAACGAAATTTTATAGCCATGCTGGTACATGACTGAGTCTATGGGTGGAGGGACAGACAGATTGAATTTAATGATCCCCAAAATGAAATCGGGGGCAGATTTTCATTTGTTCTTTGATCATATGGCTTGTGTCCAGGTTTTATGTGAAGAAAATACCCAAAAAATAACATTTATGTATTACTTTTTTTTTTTAATATGTACACTTACTCATGCCTTTCTGACAGCCTATTGTATTTTTTTCATTTGTACACCTCTGTGAACGGTTGCTTAACAATGAACTATTAGAAATACCTCAATTATATAGTGTTCTTGCTGCCATTGCGTCTTAAGATTTTTTTAAAGGGCCACTGTATCCTAACTGATTCTTGTGTCCTATTTTGTCCCCTCTGAGGTCCACTTGTGGTTTTATTTCCAAAAACAGTCTTAATTCATATTTACACAACCATTTTCCAACCTCTCTTTATCCCTTAGAATAAATCATGCTGATGTTGCTGTGGTTTTAAGGAGCATGCCAACGATCTTTTAAAATCTCTGCATAATTCAATGAGATGTAAACAAAGTTATTCAGAGTGGTTTGATGTGAAAATGCTCATTGTGGAAAACCTTAATGTTTTGGGTATCTGACAGGATATTTGCATATTTATATATCCGGTGTAGGTAAAAATAATGTGTGGCCACACCATATTAGCACGTGAGAACGAGATCCTAATGCATGTCCACAACTTAGTAAGGTGTGGGAGCGAGATAATTAAGTCATTGCCACAGTTTAGTAAGGTGCGGGAACGAGGTTATGCCTTATTAAGCTGTGGTCAAGGCTTAATTATCTCATTTCCACGCCTTACTAAGTCATGGCCACACATTAGGATCTCGTTCCCACGCCTTACTAAGCCATGGCCATGCATTATTTTTATTTATACGTGATGTCACCAGCAGGGCTCCGTATGCAATAATTTTCTATGAGGGAGATTTTAGAGGCATTCAACATTCCGGACGTCTGGTTCCTATCACCACCACTGTGTGCAATTCTGACTGAAGTTTCTCTATAACGGTGCACTGCACATCAAACCACTCTGAGTGACTGTGTTTACATCATTAAGTAGACATTTTGAAGAATTGGTGGAATTTCTCTTTAGGACTGATATATGCAAATGATCAAGATTCTGATTGGCTGCCCTGTACGCCTCATTCAAAAAGCAGTCTGGGTTGTTTTTTTGAAATGTTTACTACCTCAAACTCTTTTATTTAAAAAAAGTGAGCAAAATTCAGCTCTTTAAAGGTTTTTCATAGATCTGTCACAAAGCAACATACAGAAAGCAAAAGGTAGACCAAGCATGAGACAGCACATAGCACAAGAACGATACACTTCCTCACTGAATGGTTCCAATATGACACATACAACTTGCTAGAAAATAGTGCTAAACACATCCAGTTATTGCTAAACAACAGCTTTACACAGCCACCACAGTATCATCTGAGGTGCACACGGCTCTGTCACAAACTAATTATAGGGGAATTCCACTAGAATGTCTGCATTACTGAATCATTAAGAAGTAATCAAAGTCATTCAGAGTGGTTTGGTGTGGAATGCTCTGTTCTAGAAAACCTAAGTCATATTCAGTTAGAGTGGTGGTGCTAGAAACCAGATGTCCAAAGTGTTTAATGTCTCTAAAAACTCCTTCAAACAGACTTATTAGGTGAACCACTGTTGACCAGATAATGCAATGTAGACAAACTCATCAACTCTTTACAGTGGTGGTGATAGGAAGCAGAAGTCACATGTCTACAACTCAGAAATAACCATTTTATTTACTATCCAAAACCACCAGTGAACCTACACTTGTCTTCTGAGTTTTTAAATGTAAAGTTGATAACAATAAAATAGTGGTAAATCTGAGAAAGAACTTTATTTTTTTTTTTTACCTGCAAAAACCTCTCTGCCATGAATCAATTGAAGATATATATTTTAGGCCAACATATATCTCAAATCTACTGTAAATTAATGTCTCAGGAATCAGGCATTTCGTGTAATAACTTCCTGTGAGGGAGCTTTTAAAGGCATTTAACTTTCCAGACGTCTTGCTCCTGAACAATTTTGACTCTGTGAGTTTCTCTAGAACGGAGCATTTCACACCGAAGCACTCTGAATGACTTTGTTTACAGCCTAATCACTTAATTATGTGGAGCTTTTTTTATCGGTGGAATTCTCCTTTAGTGATTTAATGAAGAATTTTGAAAAATCGGTGGAATTCCCCTTTGTGGAAGTGCAGTATACACACTCCTAAAGAGGACCGTGACTGTGTTTTACTCCGAAAACGTGTATGTTCACCAGCGCCCAGCAGATGGAGACACACTGCCACAAATAGACAGTGTGAGTTACATTTGCTCCTCAGTCTTTCTTCCACCGAGTTCTGACCTCAGGTCCCTTCAGCACGTCCGACTGTTTGTTTTTCTGGACAATAGTGCCAATCTAAACCCGACCTGACCTTGTTTTGGAGTCTGGATTAATTCAGAAGAGAACAGAAGAGTGTAAAGCTGGTTTTCTGAGCAAAAATAAAAAAGCCACAGCTGGACCAAAACATTTCCAGTCGAGTTCTCTGGAAAAAAGCAGGTGTTCACTCTCTCTCCGCTGAAGATGGCCGACGCCTTCGGGTTCTCCGACTTCTCGAACGGCGCCGAGGCCGAGGAGGACCCGGCCGCAGCCTTCCTGGCGCAGCAGCAGAGCGAGATCGCCGTCATCGAGAACGAGGCGGACGGGCTCGGAGTGGCCGAAGGCAGGTCGACTTTATGGGGCATTAGCTTAGCCAGTTAGCTTAGCGTTCTGGAGCTTCACAAAGGCGCATCGCTGAACGAGGCTGAAGTTGGCTTCCTATTCGCCAGCTTCGTGTTCGAATTTCCCCGTTCCACCTTAAATGGTGCAGCAGTTACATTCTGCCCTCAGGCGCAAGAATGTAACTGCTGCACCATTTAAGGTGGAACGGGAAAATTCGAACAAGAAAGTGGTGATTACGAAGCTGGCTTAATTTAGTCAAACATAAATCTAGAATTAAATAAAACAGGTTTATATGAGTCTTCAGCGCGCCATGAATTAGTTTAATGAGATATACAAACGAAGATTTTCAGCAAACATCTCTACGTTCGTCATGTCAGTTGAGCTCGGTCAGTTAGCGTTAGCGAAGCTAGCCTGTTCTTGCTAAATAGCATCCAGCTGTTCCAAAGTCAGCTGCGGGAGCTGGATAGCCCCCCTAGCTAAGGAAAGCCACCCCAAATGGTGTAAAATAGACACACAGTTATGTTTTCTCATGATTTGTGAAATAGTGAAGTAATAAAAACCATAACATTTACCTTACGAAACTTGACTAACAGCTAGCTAATTAACGTCACTGCAGCATAGCAAACTTAGCTAGTTTACCGAGCTACTATAGCTAGCTGTCTTCTAATGAGCAAGCATTTAATGCTTCTCGTTTTCTGGATAATTATATGTCCACTCTGGGTTTACAGTATTTCTCTGGTACGTTAGTTTAGTGGAGTAAACATGATAATGCCGTGCTTTCTTGCTCTGAGTGCTTTATTTCAGTTGACGTATCTCAGTTAACTAGGTAACGTTAGCTCGTTAACGCTAAACAACGTCAGCTGTGGAAGCTGGACAGCTACCGAGCTCCCCACAACCAGCATCAATGGGTTATAACAGATACACAATTTAGTTTTCTGATAGTTTTCAAAGTGAGAATCAAGCAGATAAATTAGCTACCTGGCTAATGTAACGCTGTCTAGCTGGTTGACCTACAGCAGCTGTAGCTAAAGTAACAATTATGTCTGAACTGTCTGTCAAACCTCGGATAAAGTAGCTTCTCTTCTCGAGTTTTCCTGGTGGACTCCCGTTTCCGCCACTGGAGAAGAATATAGTCGTTTAGTGAGTCATAATAATGTAAAACGTTAGTATAATTATGATTTAGTATGTCATAATTATAACTTACTTTTTCGTAATTATGTCTTTCTCATAATTATGATTTGCTGTCTAATAATAATGACATTTTATCTGATAAGTGTGACTTAGTGTCCCATAATAATAACTGTTTCATAATAATTTCATTATGAGACAGTAAGTCATTACAATGAGATAATAAGTCATATTAATGTGAAAGTAAGTCATAATTATGAGAAAATGCCATAATTATGAGGGTGCCAAGTCATAATTATGAGATGTTAAGTCATGAGATAGCAAGTCTTAATCATTATTATGAGAAGTTAAGTCATAACTATTAGATATGAGGTCATAATTATGAGACTGATTCTCATTATTTTGAGATACTAAGTCGTTATCATAAGATACTAAATCATAATCATTTAAAGGAAGAAATGAGATACCATAGTCATTATTATGAGATGCCAAGTCATGAGGTTATAATTATGAGATTGAATTTCATTATTTTGAGATACTAAGTCATAATTGAGATGCTAGATCATGATTATTAGAAATGATCTAATTATGAGATAACAAGTCGAATTTATGACACACTAAGTCATGATTATGAGATTGAATCTCATTATTTTGAGATGGTAAGTCATAATTATGAGATTATAAGTCATTTCCCATTATTATGATTGATTAAATGGCTATATATTACTTTTTCTAGTGGTGGAAATGAGCTTTCATAGGACTCACGTACAGTCATAGCCAGACAGGATTGGCAGCATTCTTGTGATATCTGTAGTACTTCTGAGTGGTAAAGCTTTAAGTGTTGCTCAACAGGAACAGAAACTGTGGATTTTACAAGCTGCCCGTCGTCTTTTGTTGAAGCAGATGCATTTGGAGGAGCTCCCACCACAGCAGTAAACGGAGACATGTTTCAGGTGTGTGTAATAATGCTACTTTTTTTTTTTTTAATAACTGAGGTAAATGTCTACACGGTAGTGACTCTTGACAAATGCTTTTATTTTGTGAGTGGTTAAAACTGTATGGGTGTAAATCAGAAGGCACACTCCTTATTTTACTGTGTGAGGTTACTCAAACTGTGTTCAAACCCACACAATAGACATCCACTTCTATAGAAGCCACAATTAAACTCTGATGATTTTTTTACATTTTCTGATGATTGTGATCCCTTCAGGACTCCAATGGTGAAGCAGACAGCTATGCAGCCATCTCCCAGGTGGACCAGCAGAGGCAGGAGCCCGAAAGCTTGCGCAAGTGGCGTGAAGAACAGAAGACCCGGCTAGAGGAGCTGGGTAGGGGACTCAGCATTGAGTTTGTGTTACTTCATAGTATTCAAGCTGAACAAGAGCACTGTTAATGTACCAGTGCTGGTTTATTGTGTACACTGGCCTAGTTACACTGGTCTTCAAGTGTACAGCAGGTTTTAGTACAGAATTGAAGTTTGTACTGTGAAGAAGTTAAATTTCATTGTATAAACTGTAATTACTAAAGTAATAAGATGGTAACAGGTGATAGCACAAGTGTATGTGTACTTCAGTGTTGCGTACACATTGTGTTTTGTCCTGGTACCCTTTATTCATATGTGTCCACTTGAAAAACTCCTGGAAATGAAAACTAGTGTGTTAAGGCCGATTCACACTAGCTAAGGTTTTGTTTTTGGACAAAAAGAAACATGGAACCTTCACATCTTTTTTTTAAACACTCTGAGAATAAAAAATCAGATGGAAGAGAAAAGAAAATGGATCACCCGAGTGACAGCGATGGTTAATTTATGATTTTTCATTTATGTACGGCAACTAAAAGGTAGAGACACTGGGTACTCCCCAAATATTAATAATAATACATGACAGTGCATGAATAGGATATTAAAACTGCTATAAACAGTCGCTACGTTGTAATAAAGTACTTGCTGTCATCCTAGCCTTTCAGCTGTGGCCCACCATGTATTTTCTTCAACTGCATTTGTATAGTCATTGTGCATGTTGTATACATTTTTGTACAGTGCCACAAACAAGATGAGCTGTTCTGCCACCAAGAAAATGCATATTTGATTGGACTGAAACCATGACAGAGGAGCTCCGATTGTTCAGCCTGATTTTTAATGTGGCTGTACAACACAGAAAATTGAGTTCCACTTACAGATTTTACGTAGTGTTGCACTTGGTGTGAATAGAGTTGAATTAGGGTACATTGTTTAAGAGCAGTGTTCGTGAATCAGTTGGAGTCATTGCATATATAGTATTTGCCTGACATCTATCGTTATGTATAACATATAAAACTTGTCATGTTTTTTTAATAATTTAATTTCTTGGTCTGCTTCTCATCAGCTTTAATAAAATTTCTACAAAACTAAAGTAATTCGGAGGCATGCAATGATTAACAATATGTAATACGTCTTTTTCAGTTTTACTACTCCCGTACACCTCTAACAGGTTGATTAAGGTACTTTAGCTCCATATCAGGTCGGCAAGACTTAGTTGTTTGGTTTTCACTCTGTAGATTCGGCCTCTAAAGCTGCAGAAGCCGAATGGAAGGAGAAGGCAAAGAAGGAGCTGGAGGACTGGCACTTGCACCAGCAAGAGCAAATGGAAAAGAATAAAACCAACAACAGGTATTTCTCCCCATCTACACATCTGTTCCATACGTCAGTGAAACTCAGTGATTTCAGGAAAGTAATTAAAATGTTATAAATGTGAAGAAGTGGAAATAATAGGAAAACAATATTAATATTCACCATTCCTTTTTTTCAGTGTGGTCAAAGCAGATTATTGGCTTATCATGAGTAATGAAAATGTAGTTGCCTGTAACAGTGTGTTTGATCACGCTGTTTATTATAGACCTTCATATAGGCGGAGTGTAGCACTGTTAGAGCATAACCTAAATGCTACAATGTATAGGCTATTTGCGTCACATATATGAGAAGTATGCAAAAAATGAAACTATCTCTCTTCACATGTGTGTAGTTAACCCACGCTGTCCTGGTACTTTCTCTTCAGTACTAATACCAGCCTTCTTTCATACTTTTCAACAGACTCTGTCCAAGTCTGGCACGGTATCAGATTCTTACTATCATTGTGTCTTTACTGTAGTGTTCCATGCACACTGAGAAGACTGTCTGAGGAACTTTGTCTATACAAGATTACTTGATTAACGTTTTCATGCTAGCGTTCTGGACCCATCTTAAATATTTGGACTAAATTGTGACTAACAAATCACCAACCAGGGTTTTTTTCTCATGTATTTCTGCATAATTAAATGGTTAAGATGTAAATAAAGTCATTCAGAGTGGTTTGATATGAAATGCTCTGTTCTTTTAGAAACGTTGAGTCAGAATTGGCAGAATTGACATCTAAAGAGCTAAACGCCTCTAAAAGCCACATCACAGAAAATTGTTAGATGAAATGGTTACAAATGTGTTTGATGCCTAAGGCTACGTTCACATTACCAGGCTGAAGTGGCACAAATCTGATTTTTTTGTCATAATGTGACTCAGATCTGATGTTTTTTTAGAGCTGTGTGGACACGCAAATCTGATCTTTTCAAATCCGACCTGAGCCACTTTCATATGTGGTCCTAGATCAGATACCTATCAGATTTGTCGCCGTGCAACCTCAGTGTGACGCTCAGATCGGAATTCATGTGCTTTTTTCCTACTGCTTCATCATTCAGCGTTACTATGGCAGCAGCACCGAATAGAAGTTAAAGCCTGTAAACGGTGGAAACATCTCGCCTTTTTCGCCTTCGTCTCGCTCTAATAATGAAGCTGAAAGCTGATCAGAGTTAATTATCTTCACAGCAAAGCTTGTTCTGCTCGTTAGTTTGTTTGCTGATGATGATGATTCATTCACGTGATGTTACTGAGGATGTGCACGTGCGGGTAATTTCAGGGAGCTGGTTTGTTCCCATTTAATGACATTTGAATCATTTACGTAAACGAGTGTGAACCATCGTGTCAGAGAGATCAGATCTGAGCAAAAAATCGGATTTCAGCAATGAGGCTTGTAATGTGAACATAGCCTTAGACATTATTTTACAAGAGTTTTACAGTCAGATTTTGGCCTAAATATATTTTTTGATTCAGTTCTTGGCAGAGAGGCATGTGGAGGGCTTTGTGAATCAAAGTAGTTCCCAAAGAAAACATGATTTTGCCATCATCAGTGTTATGATATAACACTATCAGAAGACACAGGTAGGTTCAGTAGCCAAGTGGCTATATTTGCATTATACGCCGTGGCCTCTGGTTCCTGTCATCACTGTTGTGAACAGTTCGGACTCTCATTTCTCCACAATGCACCATTTTACATCAAAACACTTTTTTGACTTTGTTTACATATAAACAGAAAATAAGTATGCAGTGGTTCTGAAAAATTGGCTCCCATTTAAGAGATGTCTTGAGGACAGATACTAATGTTTTTGCTGCTAAATCAGTTTGTAACAGTGCATGGTTATGTCATGGAGTCTAGGGCTGGCCCACATAATTTGATAATTTGAATACAAATTGTTTCGAAGCAAAATGATGTCTTTTGGCCAAAGTGCATTGCTTGCTGAACTGCGTCATTTGTTTGGAGACCCCTTGCCTGTAAATACTTCACGAAGCGGACCTCTAGCAGTACTAAGAGGCACATCGAATTCTTCTTAGTGTGTGTGTGTGTGTGTGTGTGTGTGTGTGTGTGTGTGTGTGTATATATATATATATATATATATATATATATATATATATATATATATATATAATACAACAGCATGTCTGGCAGTTTCGTTTAGACCTGTTATCATTTATAGTGTTCTGCATCTACGTGACTCATAAAAGCTGTTTTTGAAGAAGACGGCCTCAATAGTAACATACAGCTGGGCTTCAACCTCAATGTTAGTACACTGTTGCCACTTAAAATTATGGTTGTTTATGATACATAAACTTTGTTTTTAAGGGTGATTTTGTGTATTCGAGTGTTTCCTCAGAAATATAAAGCTGTTTGGGCCAGCTCTAGAAGAATCACTTATGAACAAATTCTTGTCATTTCTTAATTAATATTTCTCACAGCCTCACTATCACAGTCTTCTTGGTGTCATGAGAAAGTTGCTGATGGTTTCTGACGCCTTTTTAACATCTTGTTCTTGTGCTTAACAGCTTGTGTGAGATTGACTCTCTACCCCCTGCCCTCTCTCAATGTCTCTCTCTTTTTTTCCTGTCTTCTTTTGCCTACTTGCATACTAGGATCGCTGATAAGGCTTTCTACAAACAGCCCAACTCTGATGTGATAGGCTTTGTGTATGTTCACAGTCACATTATCCTCAAACTCTCGTACGGGACAAATCACAAACGAAAGGACATCATACAATCCCTCCTGTAAATGAAACAGAATACGGCTTTCACTATTGACTTTTCTCAGTGCTGAGTGCACGAGTAGTGAGAAGTTGATAGTGACGGTCAGCATCTAGAGTCAGATCACTTGCTGAGTGTGATGTCTTCCAGCAGACAGTAACAGTAAATAGTGATTATTAATATGTTATGTGCTGAATGTGCATGTCTACATCTGCAGGGTTATTGATCATTGTAATTCAGTGTGGTCATCCGTTAAAAGGAACTGTAAATACAACCCCATTTCCAAAAAAGTTGGCACGCTGTGCAGAATGTAAATAAAAACAAAATGCAATGATATGCAAATCATGTAAACCATATTGTTGTAGGAAAATAGTACAAAGACAACATATCAAATGTGAAACTGAGAAATTTTTGAAAAATATATGCCCATTTTGAATTTGATACCAACAACACGTTCCAAAAAAGTTGGGACAGGGGCATGTTTACCACTGTGCTTCATCACCTCTTCTTTTAACAACACTCTATAAGTGTTTGGGAACTGAGGAGGCACTGCTGTAGTTTTAAAAGTGAAATGTTTTCCCGTTCTTGTTTGTCATAGGATTTTAGCTGCTCAACAGTTCAGGGTCTCCTTTGTCGTATTTTTCATTTCATGACCCAAGTTTTCAGTGGTGACAGGTCTGGACTGAGGCAGGCCAGTTTAGCTCCTGGACTCTTTTAATACGGAGCAATGCTGTTGTAATACATGCAGAATGTGGTTTGTCATTGTCTTGCTGAAATAATCAAGGCCTTCCCTGAAAAAGAGGTTGTTTGAGTGGCAGCATATGTTGCCAAAACATATATATGTCATTGAGCATTAATGGTGCCTTCACAGATGTGCAGGTCACCCATGCTATGTGCACTAATGCACCCCTATACCATCATGGAGCCCAGAGGACACAGTGTCCATGATTTCCAAAAAGAATTTCAAATGTTGATTTGTTGGACCACAGGACACTTTTCCACTTCCCCTCAGTCCATTTTAAGTGAGCCTGGGCCCAGAGAAGGTGGCAGCATTTCTGGATCCTGTTTATATGTGTTTTTTTTCTTTGCGTTTAAGTTTTAACTTGCATTTCTGGATGCAGCGACGAACTGTTTTCATAGACATTGCAGTTCTGCTGTTTTATGTTGAGAAATGTTATTCCTTTTTAACTTTTTAACTATTAACTTTCTGAGATGCTCTTTTTATGCCCAGTGATGTTACTGACCTGTTGCCAATTAACCACAAGGTGTTTAAGCATTAAACAACTTAACCAGCCTTTTGTTGCCCCTCTTTTAACTTTTTTGGAACGTGTTGTTGGCATCAAATTCAAAATGGGCAAATATTTTTCAAAAAACAGAAACATTTCTCAGTTTAAATGGGTTTAAATGATTTTGCACATCATTGCATTTGGGATTTATTTACATTCTGCACAGCATCCAACTTTTTCGGTACTTCATCAGTCATTTCTGTCATCGTTATTCCTTTTTCATACTCTCCTCACAGTGGGAGAGTTTTTTGTGGTCATGTGCTTGGAAAGGAATTGACCTATTCATGCTCCACCCACAAATCTGCTCTTTCATAGCAGCTCTTGCCAGGTTGGACATGATTTAAGGAACGTCGGAAAAATCCCTAATCAAACTAATGAGAAACTTTAGTGCACAACTCAATTTATGAAAACCTACTGTCGTATGCAAAACATTAGGCACCGCTGGTCAAATGACATGTATTGTTGATTTAAGTTAACACATCTTCTACAGAGAACACACCTCTACACATTTAATGCACAATTACTGTTTATGGACTGACGTTAACTTATTAAGCAGTGTTTCCTCTAGGAGTTTTTTCAGCAGAGGTGCAGGCCCACAATCCAAAACTCCAAAAACATTTATTGAAGTAACGTTACTGGAATTAGGATTCACTGAGTTTGCTAACATTAATGTTAGGTTAGCTGGACCATTATTTTTCTATATATTAGTAATGATAGTAGTAGTAGTGGTAGTAGTAGTAATAATAGTAAAAAAAAAAAGTAATAATAATAATAACAACAATTTGTTGGCCATGAACATCAGCAAAGAATAACATTACACAAATAACAAAATCCATTCTCCATTTGGTGTATCCTTGGTTTCAAATTAAAAGTCCTCTATAGACTTTTATAATTGAGACTTCTTGACATTTCACAAAATTCTGCAAAAGTGGTGGTAATAATTTTGCAGCGAGGAGTCGCCGCTGCAAAATATATATTGTGGAAACACTGTTAGGAACATAATGAAAGTTTTCACAGTACATTTAGTGTATTTATTCATTTTAAGTGATATTTATTTTGTATATATGTGCAAAGTCATGTGTTGTTGTTTTGTATGTAGTTGCTTTAGTTGGCTTTTGTTTTTGATTAATATGCTCAAAGCTCACCAACTTCAGCTGTTTTAACATTGCTAACATTTGCTGACAACATTATACTGCACTTACCATATATTATAGCCATTATGGTGAAAATGTGGAACATTTTTTAAAATAAAAATGCTATTCAGTAAATAATCTTTGTAGGAAGCACTGATCATCAATTCTAATGAGCGTGTTGATTTACAGCCAAATTGGCCCATTTTTATCACACTATTTGGGCTAAACGAACACATGAAACATATTAGCACATTTCTAGGTCTTTCTATTAGCTAAAGTTGCAGTGTAAATAACATTAATTGCTCTTTAATGGGCCAAACTACATTTGAAATTAAAATGGTAAGTCAGAGTCAGTATATTTCAATAACATGAATCATATTAAGTGCTACATTGAAAGAGAGGCAACTGGCTATTTACTCTGAGTCATGCATAATTATGCTGAGACTTTTATGGTCTAGGAATAGCAGCATTCAGATACAGCGCAAGTGCACTTACGCAGCTTACGCTGATTCCTGATTATGTTTGGAGCAAAAATTTGTTGTGTTAACGTTTCCATTGTTAGTGTCCTAATATAACCAAAAGCTAATGTCAGCTGCAGGTTAACACACTACCCACAAGCTAATGTGCTAGTCACGATACAATGATACAATACAGTATGTAGATTGTATTGTTACATCCCAGCTGTTTTGAGTTGTGCTGTAAGCTTGTCCAGCCTCACAACAATGTTGCGTTTTCTCAGTGGAACATTAACAGGTCAATTGCTTTTCCATTCCATTTCATGGCTTCTGTTGGCATGGCATGTATCCAGTGTTAGCTGCGAGCGGTTTCTGCTCTCTGTCCTAACATTTCTGCACTCCTGCCCCTGCAGAGCGTCCGAAGATGCCTTTCTGAAGGAGTGCGATGACGACAGTCCCGGCTCCGAGTGGGAGAAAGTGGCCCGGCTGTGCGACTTCAACCCCAAGACGAGCCGCCAGACTAAAGACGTGTCCCGAATGCGGTCCGTCCTCATTTCTCTCAAACAAACGCCTCTGGTCCGCTAAGACCTCGTCCCTCTGCTGCATCTCGCCTTTTTCTCCCTCTCCCTCTCGCACTTTACTTTAGTACGATTAAACACACTAATTATTTGGATTTTGTTTTTAACAGCGTCACTCAAGATGTATGATATATTTAAACATTGGGCCTGTTTCACCCCATCGTTTCTACTGTATCAAAAACAACAACAAAAAAAAGCCTTTTCCCACGTTTTTCCAAGTTTGCCTGTTTTTATAATAGAAGGAATGATTGTGCCTCCAGTGTAGGGAAGTAGAGGATTGTTAAAAGGAAAAACTGTAGCTGAAACTGCAGTGCAGTGGTTTGTCCTTCCAGGTTGGTGTGATGTTTGATGATTGTCGTCTTTAGTGGTGTGACCCTCAGGCCACCACGGAGCGTTATGTCTCTGCTTTGGTTATAGCAGTTCTCTCCAGCTGGGAGAACTTCACAGAGCAGGATTTCTTGGTTAACCAGATAACTTAAGCCTGGAGTCAAGCCTGTCCAGAAGGAAAAGGGGTAAAGGATATTTGGACAGTCCTGACTTTGGGCTCAGAATTCTTGTTTTGTCAAATCCCCCTCCCCAAGCCACACTTATCTACCTGATTCCTTGAGACTTCATGCAGGGTGACCAGACGCTCGAGACGCTTCCGCCTCTCGAGTCATTTTGTTACAAAGGCACAGATTTAGAAGTTGACACCTTTCATAAAGCAAGTTTGTTTCCAAAAAAGAAAAATCCTGTCCTTCTGTTGTTTCATGACCAGCATTCTGGGGCCTTTCTCACAAAGCACGTTTAACTTAGGGTTCCTGACTAAATGCCAGCTTCAAAAAAACAATCACGTTTCTATCATTTTACAACTTTGTTTTTTAATACAGGTTGCGATACTCCGACTATGAGTAATCAGCAAGTGTGTACGCTTAAAAGTGTGATGTTTAAATCATATGAAACAAGTGGCTTATTTTCGAAGATTGAAAGAAACATCATACCAAGTTGGTATGTACAAATAAAAGAATTTTTAAATGATAAAAAGCAGTTAATAGTAGCTTTATATTCTACATTTCTTTTGCTAAAATGCATTGTTTTTCATGTCATCGACAACACAGGCATCACAAAGAAATCAAAAATGAGCCAAAACGTCTGTCGTAGAGCTGTTTATGATCCGAAATCCAAAACTTAAGCTGCTGTAAAGCAGGTTAGGTATACAGTCGCCGTGGTGATGTAGCCTGGTAAGAAGTGATCCATCCACTGTCATGAAAATCCAAGGTTAGATTGAACTAAGCCTAAAGTTAGCTGGTTAATAGAGAACTCCTGCTTTGTGAGACAGTCCCCTTGGCTGGTATTGTGTGTTTTTATTAGTGATGCATCGATACCAATTTTTTAAGACCAAGTACGAGTACATGCTTTTAAGCACTTGCCGAGACCAATTCCGATACTGTACTGAGGACCGTACTTAAGTAGTTGTTGGTTTAAATGAAATTAAATTAAATTCCAACGGTAAAATCATTAAAATCTGGCTGGTTTTAAATGAAGTGCATTGGCTAGATATGCTATGAGCAGCGTTGCAGTGGCTTTCGTTCTGTGTCAGAAAAGCGCTTCTGTACAGCTGTAAGTAAAGTACATTTCATAGTTTTGATCCTCATCTGTCTCTTTCAACGAATGTAGCACAGCGACAGCAGTTGTTGGAGTCTTTTGTTTGGCTGGTTGAGCTGTAGTTTAATGTCCTCTGAAGCCACATGTACACTGTGTGTGTACTAGACTTATGTCACATGGTATCAGTTTGTATCGGCTGTTGATATCGGTGCATTTTATGAATACAAGTAAGATTAAATGACCGCAGTATCGGGCCAATCCCCGGTACCAGTATTGGTTTCGATGCATCCCTAGTTTTCGTTTAATTAATCTTGCTTCATTGTGTGTAAAGAGGGATTTCCGTTACAGAATTACAGCACAACTTTCTTTTTCCCATGCTATTTTGACAAAAGCAACATTTATCTTACAAATATTTAACAGTGCAAGTTAACAAATTCCAAACCTTTATTTCTTTATTTATTGGTGGTCTTGTTTATACAATTAACCTACTGTATATTGGTTATATTCCTATGATTGAGCTGTAGCAGGTTTGACTTGGCTTAATTAGTAAATCCATCTCATCACATTTGAGATGTAATTAGTTTGGCATGTGTTAAAAGTGTTACTGATGTTGCCCTTCGTTATCATTCTTTATCTTACAGCTTTGAGGCCTTTTTACGATGACAGATTGAATACTGTTACTTGCCTTTCGATTTACCAGTTCTGTTGCACAGTACGACAGATTGTGGTTGACTGGCTGCCAAAGAGTCCATCAGTATGTCCATGCTTGACTATTCTATCTTGACAGTTTTCCAGACATGGGCTAGTTAAAGGGGAGTTCCACCAATTTTTCACCAATATGTAAGCAAAGTCTTTCAGGGTGATTAGATGTAGTTCTCTGTAGAGAAACCTACCAGTTGTTAACGGTGGTGGTAGAAACCAGGGGTTGTGATGTCTACAACACAAATCTAGCTATTATATTTGCTATCTAAGATGACCAGTTGAGTGTTTTGTTTTAAATTGATAATAGTAAAAGTGGCAAAGTATTATTTGGCCTTACACAGACCCTGTATGTACCTCTCCATCATGAATATATATTAAAAAAAATACGTTTTACACCAAAACCATGTCATACTATAATGAAACAGTATCTCAGGCATCAGGCAGCGTATTCATAACTGTTTCTTTCTGTGTTTGGTCCTTATTATTATGAACAGTGAGCGTCTCTAAAACAGAGCATTTCACATCAAATACATTTATAGATACAATAATTTACCTTTGTACGTCTTAATGGTTCAGTTAGGTTCAACTGTTTTTACAGGTGGTGGAATTCCCCTTTAAAATTAGGCCTCAGCTACCAAGCAGTTATGATGGAAAAGACACCTTTAATATATGCTTAATCTGTGTCTGGACAGTCATGAGTTTTCTCCTCAGTTACTGACTAGAGGCTGTTTATCACTTTCAGTAGACAGTAGTTCATAGTTTTTCCAGGAATTGTAATGAACGCCTTTCTGAAATGTTCTTATCTGCATATGAAGATGTGCTGTTGGGCTTAGAAATAAAGACCATGCAATACTGAAATGTACAACTCAATAAAAAAAAAGGAACTTTTCAGTTGTTGAGACTGTTATTTCAGACTTGCTTCCAGGGCCAGTGACAAAGAAGAGATTTAAAAATTAAAGTTTGAGAACATCTGAATTAAAAAAAAAAAATGTTTCTGCAAGAATTGAATGTTTTATAGCATTTTTAATGGTATAAATCTAATAGTGTCATCAGTTTTACCACCAGAAAATGTCAGGTGGTGCAGCCACACATTACTTACAAATATTGTTTTAAAGTCATTTATGAAAACATGCTTTCATTCTTGAACTAGTCTTGTTTAAAATTAATAAACATTATTCTAATAATGTTTTTAATGGTTTCCTGGAGTCACACCACATGACTTGATATACTGAGTTAGCCTGGCCATCACTCAAAAGGACAGTTTTTTTATGTGTGAAAGGAGTACTGACCTTGGCATTGCACCATGAAGGTCACTTGGAGTCTTCAGCAGTGCAAAACCCTGAGCACTCTTTCTTTACAGAATTTCATAATACAAGTCCTTTGTTTTCGCTTGTGCCGCATGACATTTAAGGGACACAGAATTTACAGGCAAAACTTAGCAGTTCCTTGAACACTTTTTGCAACTGTGTTTCACTATTCAGCAACGAGTGGTTTTAAAGCACTCAAACATAAAATCACACCAAACTATTTTATATAACAGAACTTTAACAGTTTAATTTATCTTCACATCTGGTCGGATGGTCGCACCACCTGATGTTTCATTTTAATTATGATGCATTTAACATGTCACAAGAGGTATTGTAGGATCATATGATATTTATAAAATAATTTTTTAAGCAAATAATAAGCTTGGACACAAAAAAAGCATGTAATATCATTGGCCATCCCAACACATGGAAAAAACAGTCCAGCCTTAAACCTCTTTAATATTAAAGTATTCTCAGACATTGCATATGATACATAACAGCACTGTCTCAGATGTAGAAATATATCTGAGACACAACAATACATAAAAAAACTAACATTTGATATTATTATAACATAACACATCTCTAACTGCCCGAGATAAATGCTTCAACTAAAGACACCCAAATCAAAAAATAAAATAAAGGTGAATTTGTAACCAGTCCGCAGCTGTTACTCAGGTAAGGCTCTTTTCAGAGGGAGTATATGGGTGTGGTTCTTTTCGCCCTTTGCCCCGCATCTCTCATTGTTTGGGTTTGAGTGCTGCCGCCGCCACGCCCACTATAATGGCGACAACTGTAAATCCTTGGGCGAAGATACGTGTCCGCATGAGCATCTGGGACTGGCGGGTTTTGCCCTGTTTGAAGGCTCGGAGACCGTACATCAGCGCCCCCGCCGTCCCCAAGCAACCTGCAGAACCAAACACAGACATTAAATTAATTTAGAAAAAAAAAATACCAGCATTGTGGCCTTCTTGATCTAATAGTCATCACTGATTTGTCTAAATTTCTGCATAATTCAATCATTGAGATGTAAACAAAGAGCATGCACTGACTCAGATCTTCTTCACAGCGATGGTGTTGGGAACCAGGGGTTAACACAAATATAGCCATTTTAATAGCTACTGACCTGTGAATCAACATGCATCTTTGTGTAATTTTAATAATAAACCTGAAAATATTGCTTTTATTTAGGGACTATTTTGCTGTACAGCATCCAGAATGTATCTCTCTGCCATGAAAATGCCAAAATCTTCTCAAAACTATCATAAAACAATGTCTCAGACATCAGGCAACATATTCATAACCATTTCATGTAATAACTTTCTGTGAGGGAGCTTTTAGAGGTGGACGTCTGGTTCCTATCACCACCATTGTGAACAATTCTGACCCAGTAAGGCTTCTCTAGAACAGAACATTTCACACCAAACCACTTACTTTGTTTACATGTTAACCATTTCATTATGCACAAATTCTGAGACCTTGGTGGAAGTTCCCTTTAAAGTGATAGTGTAGCTAAATATCAAATATACACAATATTCTCTCTTTTGCTTCTTCAGTTTAGCACTGGAGCTACAAGACTAATGTAGCGTGAAAGCAACAGAAGATTAGACTTAGACTTTTGGCCTAACTATCGCTTTAAGGATCCCAGTATCTTGGTTTTCCCTACAGCAGTCTCTTTCAACACACAGGTCCAAGTCAAATCTCGCTGCTCTCAGGTCAAACTGCCTGGTGGTATGTTCTTTTTAAACAGTCATTTCCTGTTCCTGTTCGGGTTTATTTTTTGAGTCCCAGCTGGACTTTAGGGGGGTCCTGATACTCATCGCAGAACCCTCTTGGGGGTCCGGGGAGGGGAGCAAAGGTTTAGGGACAAACTGTTCTGATGCCTGTTGGTGTTCACAGTCCCACGGCCTCCAGGACCAACAGAGCACATACTGGATCTGCTGGGAGCCTTAAAAGGAGAATTCTACCCTATTTTCCAAAATTTCTACACAATTCAGTCACTAAGATGTAAATAAAGACTTCCAGAGCAGTTTGATGTGAAATGTTCTAGAGAAATTTATAGAATCCGAGTCTCTCACAGTGTTTCTCAGGGTGCCTCTAAAATCTCCATCACCGAAGTTGTAGTAGTTGTGAATTCACTGCTTGATACCTGAGACATTGTTCTGAGGGTTTTGGACCAAAATATTTTTTTACTTTTTTAAATGAATGACAGAAAAGTGCATGCAGGCAAAACAGCAACCAAAGAAAATCATTATGGAGACTAGAAGGTGAAAGTTTAAGTTGGCTTGACAAAGCCGTTGCTATGAAATCCTAGGTGGTTGTTAAGGTGTAGCTAGGGCATTGCTATGTTATTCTAAGTGGTTGCTAAGGTGCTACTAGACTACTGCCATTGCCATGGTCTCCCAAGTGGTTATATATATATATACATATATGTGTGTGTGTGTGTGTGTGTGTGTGGTAGTATGTGTATGAGTCTGTATGTGATGTCACAGTCTCTCCCACTGCCTTTTATAGACATTGTTTGGGGCAGTGAATTTTCACAATATCTGGCCATTCAGTTTCAGGCTGTATGAAAACCAGAGCAAACTATTTCCATATAGGCTCTATGATTCTGCAATGTTTTGTCACTGTAGCTCAAAACCCACGATCCAGAAAAATTGGCTGGCTTGACCAATCCAACTTAGTGTTTTTATGGTTTATTAATTTGCCCTCCGTTCATTGTTTAACTTAATTATATATCATAACTAAGGGCGGCATGGTGGCGCAGTGGCTAGTTTGCCTGTTCTCCCCGTGTCTGCGTGGGTTTCCTCCGGGTACTCCGGTTTCCTCCCACAGTCCAAAAACATGCAGTCAGGCCAATTGGACATGCTAAAATTGCCCCTAGGTGTGAGTGAGTGTGTGAATGTGTATGTCTGTCTGTCTGTCTGCCCTGTGATGGACTGGCGACCTGTCCAGGGTGTATCCTGCCTTTCGCCCAGTGACAGCTGGGATAGGCTCCAGCACCCCACCGCGACCCAGAAGGATAAGCGGTTTAGATGATGGACGGATATATCATAACTCAGAAGGCACAATTAGGTTCACTGGTGGATGTGGATGCTAAATGACTATATGTGGCTATATTTGCACTGTAGACCTTGCGACCCCTGGTTCCTATCATTACTACTGTGAAGAAATACAAATCAGTAGGCTTCTCTATAACAAACCACTTCAAATCAAACCACTTTGAATGACTTCGTGAATAAATCATCCACTAAACTATGTAGAAATTTTGAAAAAATGATGGTATTCCCCTTTAAACAGACTTTTTGACTAGAAAGTGAGACATCGAAAGTGGCTTACTTATCCCACTAGCATTCTTTCTCATCTGATTCAGCCTGAAACCTTTTCCTTTCAAAGATTACAAAACAATGATGTGCAAAAAACTCCAACACCTGACACTTCAGTGGAGCTGATAAAGCAGGTAGAGCAGCCCGAAAAAAAGTTGGCCTTTCACTCCATTCTTTGTTACTGACAAGTCCATCTATGGAGACTCTGGTCTGTTGTTTTGCTCTGTAAAGCACATCTATTGTTCTCCGGACCTTTAGGGCCCATTGGCTGCGTATCAAAGGCAATTTCCAGATGTTTTTCGTCTGACAGGCTGTTTATTTCATACACTATTCTGTACCATATGAGGCTGAAGGTGGCTTCATATTCGCCAGCAGCTAATTCAAATTTTCTGTTCCACCTTAAATACTGAAACAATTACACTCTGTAAATGCAGCACCATTTAAGGTAGAATGGAAAATTCAGTTAAAGGGGAATTCCACCAATTTTTCAAACTTTCTATATAATTCAGTGGTTGAGACATAAACAAAGTCATTCAGAGTGGTTTGATGCGAAATAGTTCATTTGTGGAGAAACTTGCCCAACCAGATTTCTTTACAGTGGTGGTGATGGGAACCAGGGGTCGCAATGTCTACGACACAAATACAGCCAATTTATTTACTATCCAAAACTAATGACAAGTGAACATACACATCCTAAGTATTTTACATAATGATGACAATGGTAATATAGTGGAAAATCTGAGTTTACTGTGGGGACTTTTTGCCTTAGAACCCCCTTAATGTGTCCCTCCACCATGAATGGCTTAAAATAAATGGATGTAGCTTTCAGAGGCATTCAACTCTTCAGACCTCTGGTTCCCATCACCACCACTGTGAACCATTCTGACTCGGCTAGTTTCTCTAGAACGGAACATTTCACACGAAACCACTCCGAATGACTTTGTTTACGGCGCAACCATTCAATTATGTAGAAATTTTGAAAAATTGGTGGAGTTCCCCTTTAAAAAGCCATAGGAAGCTTTGAGCGGTTATTTAAGAAGAAGAGCAGCGCCGCTGACTCTGTTAAAGGTCATACAGGTTTATGACAGCTGGTCAACAAGAAATGAAGCCAAACACCAGAGCTTTAAAATGGAGAAAGGGGGTAAAATAAAGCTTCACTATGCAAAAAAAAATACAGAATAATAATATGATATAATAATACACAATAACTCTCCAGCGACTTGTGTAACTGAGTTACGTCACTCACCGATGGGGACGAAGGGGTTTTCTTTGGTCTTGCGGATGAATTTGTCCTGAAAGCTTTCCTCTCTGGCCCGGGGCAGCGGGGTGAAGCCCTCTATGGCTGGGGGGCTGTGCGGGTCGAAGGCTGCGGCCCCGGGGTGCGCTGACCCGGCCGCCCGCTCCTCATGCACTGCGCTCGGCGCCACTGCCATACTTCAGCCGCTGCTGCTGCTGCTTCTGCTACTGAAACAACAACTGCGCTGAACACTCATCAACACTGCATACCGCCCCCTACAGGACTGTAGGCCCGCGGAGCGGCCCTGACTTCTACCTACAAAATAAAAATAATGACACAGAGCCCCGAGGGCGAAATGGTGAGAATTCTTTAATACGTTGTAGCCACTAATTAATATTGAGGCCTCGAGTTACTATAGTGAGGCCACAATTTACTATGCTGAGGCTACGAATTACTATATTGAAGCCACACTTTACTATACTGAGGCCATGAATTACTACATTCAGGCCACAATTCTCTATATTGAGGCCACAAATTATTATGTTGAGGCCGTGAGTTATTATACCGAGGCCACAAATTACTATATTAAGGCCACGACTTACTATATTGACACAATTCACTATATTAAGGCCACAAATTATTATATTGAGGCTGCAAATTAATATACTGAGGCCACAAATTACTTTATTAAGGTCATGACTTACTAAAGTGAGGCCACAAATTACTATGTTGAGGCCACTAATTACTATATTGAGGCCACATTTTACTATATTGAGGCCACATTTTACTATATTGAGGCCACAAATTACTATATAAAGGCCAAAGCTTACTATAGTGAGGCCACGATGTACTATGTTTAGGCCACAAGTTACTATATTGAGGCCACATTTTACTATACTGCAGCCACAAATTACTATATTGAGGCCAAAAATTACCACATTGAGGCCACAATTTATTATGCTGAGGCCACTTTTTACTATATTGAGGCCACTAATTACTATATTGAGGCCACATTTTACTAAACCGAGGCCACAAATTACTATATTGAGGCCACAATTCACTATATCAAGGCACAAATTATTATACTGAGGCCTCAAGTTACTATACAGAGGCCACAAATTACTAAAGACCATGACTTACTATAGTGAGGCCACTAATTACTATATTGAGGCCACATATTATTATACTGAGGCCACAAATGACTATATTGAAGAGTTTGATAGTGTATACAAACATTGTTAAAGATGCTCCCCTGTTTCCCCTCCACTCTTCCCCATTTTGAATTAATTGTTTTTGTGATGTCACAAATATCAAGACATGTATATTTATCCGCCAATACAGCATACAGCAGTTTAGCCCCGCCCATTATCAGTGAAGCTATATGGGTTGTTTTAGATTAGACATTATAAAGGAGCAGAAAGTTCACTGGTTGGAAAATAAATTAGACACCTTGTAAATCTTAACAGAGCATCTGTTTACAGGGAAAGTCCCGCCTTCAGCTTCAGCCAGTTGGCTTGTTGGTAAAGCTACAAAGCAGGAAAAGCAGGGTCTTGTATTACTGGAAATAACTGCCCGGAGGAGTCGCCAAGATGAACAGACTTTCCTCTGAGGACTTTGATCTGATTGTTTTTTGAATGAGACACAGTTTATAAAAGCAAATCATAACAGAGCTCATTTACATGTATCAGTCTTAAAGGCTCAGTGACAAAAACTGTTTAATTCTAAGGGATAAAGAGAGGTACATTACAAAGAGAGGGACATTAAACACATCAGTGGATGTAACTGTCATGGAAATTGAAATGCAAGAAAAATCTACAGAATATGGGCTCTTTAAAATTTTACTAAACAAGCACGAGAAGTGATGAAGACAGCCTTTTGATGCAGAAACAGCCAACAGGAAACAATCATTCTTTGTCGTTTTAACAATTATATTTTGTGAAAATAAAAAAAAAAAACTGTAGTTTAAACTGTAAATTAACTCTATTAATCTACAGTTGTTTTTGGCTTTACAGTTAGATTTTGTGCAGTTACAGTTTTACAGGCTCAGCTTTTACAGGCTGAGACAAGTTTGTGACATCGTAAGGTTAAGAGAAAAATTAATAGAATTCTTTACAACATTTATCTTAACTTTTGTAAGTTTGAAGTTAAGGGTTAAAAAAAACACATTTAAGAAAATTTTGACACGTTTGTGAATTGTGCCCCCTTTTTTTTTTTGGCTGCTATTTATTTATTTTATTTTATTTTATTTTACAGCAAGAAGGGCATGGGTTCGATTCCCTGGCCGAGTGAGCAGGGTCCTTTCTCGGTGGAGTTTGCATGTTCACGTGTGTGGGTTTCCTCTTACAGTCCAAAGACATTTGGAGATATGAAATCACACCCTAGGAGTGCATGTGGGTGTCTGCCCTGTGATGGACTGGTGACCCATCCAGGGTGTTTCCTGCCTTCCGCCCAGTGACTGCTGGGATAGGCTCCAGTACCTACCACAGCCCAGGAGGATAAGCAGTTTAGATTGTATGTATATTTATTTGTTTCTTATTACCACCAAGAACCGAAAATATACTTACATTCATTGGGTTCATAGAGAAAAAACCTGTAACATTATATTGAATTCTGATTTGCTTTGTCTTTAGTGTTTTTTTCAGTGTAAACAGAAGAGGATAAAGAAAGGAGCCAGGGGACAGAACACATAATCAGGTGTTGTTTAGCTTCTATTTCAAATTTGAGAAATTACAGTTTGAATCAATACATTTGCATTTGTGAATATGAAATTTTGCCAAAAGACAGTCAAATTAGTAACTTAATATTCTTTATTTGTGTTACTTTTATGATGACTAAAGCCAAACTAACTTACCATTAACTAAGCAAAGATGAAATTCAGGGCCAACACACACACCCTATCTAAGCCACTCATCCTCCTGGGTCGCAGGGTCTATCCCACCACTCACTGGGCAGAAGGCAGGAAAACAGGTCACCAGTCCATCACCCAGCAGACACATATATTCACAATCAGGGGCTATTTAGCATCTCCAGTTCACCCGAATGTGGAAGGAAGCCGATGCAGACATAGGGAAAACATGCAAACTCCACACAGGAAGGACCCTGGTCACCTAGCTGAGGACTCGAACCCAGGCCCTTCTTGCTGGGAGGCAATCCAGGGCCAAAACAGGCCGAGAAGAGTTTCTAACAGTTGACACTGCTATCCTTTGTAAACTTAACGAGAAAGTGGTTCACAGGACAACATCTCTGTTTTATAAGAGGCTTCACAGATATTTGGATGATAAAGCCCAAATATTTTTTATATTTTTCCAATGAAGATTATTTACAGGGCAATTTTAGCACGTGACCGCATAAAGGTTAGAAATCGCATCTCTCCAAAAACTGTGAATACTCCTATTGTTTTCTTCTTCTTCTATTATTCTATTTTTATTTATTTATTTATTTATTTTGTAGAATAGAGGCATAACTACCCCCAAAAAGTGTCTTTTAAAGCTAAGGAAACAGCGTCTATTCTTAAAAGAGTTGTGGAAACTGATGGATTGTAGTGGCAGATGATGCGATTGTGTCTGTGATTTTATGATTCCGCATCCCCTGTGTTTTCATGTTTGTGTGATTGTCAATGCGCTGCACTGTTGGAAAAAAATAGAAAAGAAAAAAAGAAAAACAGAATAAAAAAGATTTTGAATCGTGTCAGATCCGAACAGGACGCTCAGGTCTCGACGCCATCACGTCGGGCTGAAACGTCATCACGTCGCACTTAAACGTCAACACGTCGCGGTGGGGGGACTGGCGAGGTAAGATGGCGGCGCCAGAGGAGCAGGAATTATCTCAGGCTCAGACTGAGAAACTCCTCCAGTTTCAGGTAGCAACGGCTTCCCTTTCACCTTAAATCAGTGCTCAGTAGTCGGGGCCACGTACACAGTGGAATAAACGTGTCCGCGGTCGCTGTAGCGGTCCGCTCAGGTCATTTTATTTGCCTGAAAACGATAAGTTTGTCAGTAGCTAAGCTAAGCTAGTTTGCCGTTACGGAGCAGTAGCCGCCGCGGCTAACTAGGCTTATCATTTAACTCTTCACTGTGCTGATGTGGCTCAACATTTACCACATTTACACATACAAAATACATGTTTGTGAATATTTAAAGCCAGAATAATGATTAAATGGACGTTATGTGTAGCGCAGGTGTTCGCTAAACAGCTCCCGTTTCGTTAGCAGCTGTCAGTTGCCATCAACTTTACGAGGCTGAAGTTGGCTTCCTATTCGTCAGCTTCTTTCTCGAATTTTGCCGTTCCACCTTAAATGATACGGCAGTTACATTGTGGCGCATGTAACTGCGGCGCCATTTAAGGTGGAGCGAGAAAATTAGAATAAGAAGTAGACTTGAGCGTCGTATCAACTTTGTTGGCTGGAACTTGCTCAGCATGCGGCAGTTTGCCTCATTCTGTTAAACTGGTTGACGTTTTACTTTCTGTTTGCTGGATGTGAAACTGTGTTTAGTAGCCAGCTACGTTGACCTGAAATGTGTGGGTCTGGCCTTGCTGTCTGCTTTAAATCAGCCGTTATGAGTTGCCTCAGATTTCTGTTAACTAGCCTCAATCCAGTGTAGTAGCTTGAAGGGGAATTCCACAGATTTTTCAAAATGTCTGCATAAATCAGCCTCTGGGGTGTAAACAAAGTCATTCAGACTGGTTTGATGTGAAATGGGTCACTGTAGAGAAACTAACCAACTCTGGTTTTCTTTACAGTGAATCAGAACCAGAAAATGTCTACCACGCTGATATGGATGTTTTATTTACTATCCAAAACCACTAGTCAACCTACATGTTTTATATGTACTGTGGCTGATGGTAAAACAGTGGATAATCTGAAAAAACGGATTTATTCAGGGACTGTTTTGCCATACTCTGCCGTGCACGGACCCCTCAGCCAAGAATGCTTTAAAATGGATTAACAAGACGTTTTAGGCCAAATCTATGGTAAATCAATATCTCAGGCATTAGACAGCACATATATCACCATTTCATGTAATAACTGTGAGGGAGCTTTTAGAGGTGGACGTCTGGTTCCTATCACAACCACTGTGAACATTTACATTTTTCACCTGTGGCCTGTTTGAATCATGGGTGATTGTTAGAAATGCCTGATATTGTAATCATATCAATATCAGCAGATAAATACCTAAAAATCTATCAACATTGGTCTAAAACTTTGATGTCATATTTATTGCACTCCAGAAGAGCAGAATGTTTAGGTTACACTGGTTTACTTTGCTGAAATGCATTTTATTTTTGTAACTGCACTGAAATCACGTTACATCTCTCTGTAAAGCTAATTCACATAGATCTTACAAATGTTTATCTGTTAGCATCGGTAGATAATGAGTCTGAAAAAGGATATTGGCATCAGCCCACAATTCCCATATTGTTGTGTCCCTAGTTTTTCAGTGGTTACTGAAGAAACCCACTACCGCGTCATCTCAAACTATTCTAAATCTAAGTCCCCAAAATGTTGCAGAATATTACTAAAATAATTCTTTCTTTCTGCCTTAAAGGACCTGACAGGACTGGAGTCAATGGACCAATGTCGCCGCACGTTAGAACAGCACAATTGGAACATTGAGGTGAGAGCTGATGAGTGAGATCAATGATTCCTTTCAGGGAGATGCTGTGTGTGACATTTGGCAGCTCACACTGCATTGTTTGGCCCCCTGCAATGGAGACTCTCGTTGTGTTGCAGGCCGCCGTACAAGACAGACTAAATGAGCAGGAAGGAGTTCCGAGTGTCTTTAACCCGCCACCCTCCAGACCCTTACAGGTCAACACAGCAGACCACAGAGTGTATAGCTATATAGTCTCAAGGCCACAGCCTAGAGTAAGTGTTTTGACTGTATCCAAGGATAAAATCTTTGTGTAATTTTTACAAAATATTACAATTTGTAATTCCTCTTTTCCTTTTTAGGGGTTATTAGGTTGGAGTTATTATTTGATAATGCTCCCATTCAGGTTTACGTATTACACTCTTCTGGACATATTCAGGTAACACATATTATTACTAATGATATATGACTGTCGTTACTTTATTTAATTCAAAGTGCACCATTTGTTATATTTGTCTGTTCTCAGTCCTTAAAGCTTTTTCTTCCAGGTTTGCCCTGAGATTCATTAGGCCAGATCCACGGGGTCGTGTCACAGATCCTGTTGGAGACGTTGTGTCCTTTATTCATAGTTTTGAAGAGAAATATGGGCGATCACATCCGGTTTTCTACCAGGGAACATATAGTCAGGTTTGTTTATCCCCACAATGTTGATGGTCATCACGTCATGCTGTTTTAGACTACTTGAACTTTTAAAAAGTTGGCGTGCTTTAAAGAAAATTATCTTGTTCTTCTTTCAGGCTCTGAATGATGCCAAACGAGAACTTCGCTACTTGTTAGTTTACCTTCATGGCGAAGACCACCAGGACACTGATGAATTCTGCAGGTAGGTTCTGCTTCTTAATGTCTAATGTCTGGATTAATCCTTTCATGCTTTCATTGTGTATCCATGACCTGGTTCTCCATCCTGTTCCTCCTTAAGAAACACATTATGTACTGAAGAGGTACTCACCTTCATCAACACAAGGATGCTCTTCTGGGCATGCTCCACTAGCAGGCCTGAAGGATACAGAGGTACCCACACGCTCTAATTTTTTTTCTTTCAGAAACACAAATAACATTTCATAAACTATCACAAAAGCAAACTTCACTGACAGTATTAAAACCTAGTCAAGTTTTTTTTGGGGTGTAAAGCTCTAAATCAGGGCTGCCTAAAGTAGTGTGGCCAGTAGGCCTGCAAGGACATTTGATTTGGCCCATGAGAAGGTTGCCCCAACTCCCTCGCCCTCTCACTTAAAGAGACAGCAAATAGTTTTATATAACTCCTTATTTTTCTTTTAACATAGTTTTTTTTCCCCACATATTTTCCTAACAAAATATATAGGATAATGCTATAAAACAGAATTTTTTTTAAAACTCTTACGACCATTAAAACCACATAGGCATCAGTAATCACAGATCAGATGTAACAACATATGTAACTACCAGTTATGAGCTAATGACAGAAATGCACAGTGATCATAACGGCTAGTAGCACACAGACAAGAGGATCACTGGAGTAAAGTCTTTTCAGTGAATTTAAAGACAAACCAGTCTGCTACAGTAAGGAAACTGTCACAGTATTTAAAGAATACAGTGTTTGTCAACATTATAAAAGGACACATGCTCCAAATTGTTCCACATATACTGACAACATGTGAAAATGACAAGCTGGCTAGCTGTTTTGTTTTCTTGGTCCCCGGCCCACCACAAACATTACACCCTGGACCCAGAGACACAAAGTTTGGCACCCCATTCTAAATAAAATGAAAACTCTTCAATACTCTGTCCTTGTACATCATAGAAAAAGTATCATGCCTATGATAACTCAAAAGCCTGAGAAGGGGAGAGAAATCAATGTTAGCCTGATTAGGACTGCCCGATAGGCCTCAAACCTCGGCACTTAATTACTTTGTGTTGGAAGCTGTAATAGAACAGAAATGTGGACTAAAGTTATATCTGTAAGTAATATATCATTGTGTACAGTGTCTCAGGCCTTGCGGGAGAACACGTATCCCTTCTTGGCCATGATCATGCTGAAGGACCGCAAGATGACAGTGGTGGGCCGGCTGGAGGGTCTGATCCAGCCAGAGGATCTCATTAACCAGCTCACCTTCATCATGGAAGCCAATCAGACCTATCTGATGTCCGAACGGCTAGAGAGGTGAGACGGCATCCAAACTAATAAGGGTTACAGAATGAACAAAACAGAAGAGAAACCAGTTAAATAAGACTCATATGAATAACACACCACCTGTCTGAGCCTTGCAAATGTGCCCCCCCACTCCACCCCCCACTCCACCCCCCTCTTCACCCCCCTCTTAGATATGACCTGAACACATACTCTCCTACGACAGGTGACATTGGTAAAGCCCTAGTTTTCTGCTAAACAGATGGCCTGGAGTTGTTTTTGCTATTACAACACAATGATACAGAGTCTTAACTGTGTATGTGTTTAAATCAGAGAGGAAAGGAACCAGACACAGGTGTTGCGGCAGCAACAGGATGAGGCATACCTGGCCTCCCTGCGCGCAGACCAGGAGAAGGAGCGGAAGAGGAGGGAGGAGCAGGAGCAGAGACGGCAGGAGGAGGAGGCTGCCCGCCAGAGCGTTCTGGCTGAGGAGAGGAGACGCAGGGTCAGCAGCTCCACACCCACAGAACACAAACATGCTGTTGTACATAACCCAACTAGTGCTAAAGAGGCCATGAGTTGAATTCTGCTTGTTGAATTCACCGTGTCGCTGATGAAGGCACTTGGATTGAATGTGATTGGCCAAACATGTTTTAGTTAAGTTTTGAACTGGAGCTAATATAGCTAACAAGTAATGGAAGCTTATAGCCGTCAGTTAGCATTGTGCAAACTGTGTGCCTAAATCAATAGAGTTAATTCATCTCAAAGGCTGCATTCGTAATACCAGGCTGAAGTAGCACAAATTAGATATTTTTTTTCCCATCACTTTCTGGTCCTAGATCAGATACATGTGTGGACATGCGACTTTTGCATCAATATGCAGTTGAACTTGTTTTGCCTTTGCATTTCATTCTAGTGAGATTATTCATTAGGATATGCGTGGGTCATTTCAGGGCACAGATTTGTTCAAATTAGGGATGCATTGATACCTTTTCTTGCAGATCAAGTATGTTTTTTAGTACCAGGTCTGATACCATACTAAGTAGAATATTTAGAATTAAGCTGTTAGAGTAAATAAGTGCAACCTTAATTAAAATCTCACCAATTTCAAATAAAGTGCAGTAGCTAGCTATGCTACATTAGTTACCTTTGATTGAGTAGCACTGTGGAAAAGAGCAATTTTTGCTCTTCATAAAAGCGCTTCTGTACAGCTGTAAGTAAAGTACAATTCATAGTTTTGAACCCTGATCTGTCTCTTTGAACAACAGTCTGTAGCCCAATGACAGCAAGAATCACATCTGAAGGGATTACTTGTGAACTTTATATCTGAAGTCTTTTAATTGGCTGACTGAGCTGTAGCTGAATATCCTCTACAGCCAGACATACACTGTCCTGTTTTAGTAATCTTTTTCTTTGGTGACTCATGCTGTATGTTTGATTATATACTCACACTCTCATGAAAATGCTTCATCCATGTTATGTGAAATGCTCTGCCCATGAACAATTTAATATAAAGCTGTTTCAGTCAAAATATCACAGTGTGCCGAGCACTGAGCATAGAGAAACTGAGCAGCGCTGCTAACACTGCGCTGAAGCTAAACCAGGCGGTGATGTACACAGTAGGACAGTACGGTCTCTCTGGAGCCTGTTTTACAAAAAAATCACTGTATTAACATTTATACTTAGTAATTCTACCGAGTCAAACAGTCAAGTCGGCATAGATGGACTTTGGTAAGAAATGTCGACTCTTCCGCCTTTGTTTTTCTAGCCCTCGTGTTTACACCCTTAAGGGGGAAGCAGTTGTGATTGTGTGTGTAAAAACAGGCTAAAATCACTCAGTGTATGTCAGGTGGGAACCTGCCAAGGCAGAAAATTTAAAGTGACCAGTGACTTTGTGTCTGATTGTCACAGAGTCCGTAACACTTCTCTGTGTCGGCAGTGCCTCCTTCACTGCCAGCTTGAATCGTTGGTTCAGTAGCACAGCAGTGCACACACTGCTTGCGTCACAGTGGGTATTTTAAACAATGTTGGTTTTCGTGCATTTCTATATGTACGAGTAAAAGAGCACGGCATCTGCCCGATATCCGTATCGATGCATCCCTAGTTCAACTTAACAATAGATCTGAGTTATTTACCTACACGAACGTGAATCAAGCCGCAAGGATCAGACCTGAGAAAAGAATTGTTATGAGGCTTGTAATATAAATGTAGTCTGACACTGCAGTTAGTACTGTTATGTTTAAAAAGGACCAAAATTTTCTTTTTTGGCACCTGAACAACAGCCTTGAATTGCTTTAGGGGGCAGTGACTGTAGTTGCATCTGATAGCAATGCCTTTGGGTCCTGTGTTTATAATGCCTGCATGCTGTTTGTATTCACAGACACTTGAAGAGGAAAAAGAGCGGAAGTCTGAGTGTCTGCCCCCTGAGCCGGCTCTGGACGACCCAGACAGCGTCAAAATAGTGTTCAAACTGCCTAATGACACACGTGTAGAGCGGCGGTTCCTCTTCTCTCAGTCTCTGACGGTAAGGCTGCTCATGAAGGCTGCTCTTGTACATGTCAAATGCACATTAAAGTGCTTCACAGTTAAGAAAGAGTCAGTTGTTGCAGCCTTGTTCAGGAATCAGACCTTGGTACTACAAGCAAGACTCTTCAGATCTGTGATGGAGGGACAAACAGCCCTTTTCTTCCCAGGAGTCAACATTGACAAACTATACATAAACTCGTAGAACCAAAAGCTGCTCCGCTGCTCCTCTCGCTATGTATATTAACTTATGTAAAGAAGCTTGAGGGAGTTAGCAAATCTCTTTCTAACGTGTACTTTTTCTCCCCTCTTTCTCATAGGTAATCTATGACTTCCTGTTTTCCTTGAGAGAGACTCCAGAGAAATTCCAAATTGTAACGAACTTCCCGCGCCGGGTGCTGCCCTGTCTGCCCACAGAGGAGCAGCCAAACCCCCCTACGCTGAAGGAGGCCGGCCTGAGCCGGTCAGAGGTCCTATTCGTGCAGGACCTCACAGACGATTGACATTTAGCTCAACTCCCTATTCCTTGCATACGACTTCACTCATCCCCTCCAGCCCCGTTTTTCTTTTCAGTTCTGTGAAACGGCCACTGTGTACAAGGGATCACTGAAATTTCCTTTAATTCAATTAAGGATCCGACCCACCCTCCCCACAGGTAACATCTTATGTAAGCTGAGTGCAAGATAAACGGCCCTGTAAATATGACCTAGATATTTAAAGAGAAGCCTGAATACAGTCCACAATACTTTTTTTTTGTTTTGTTTTGTTTTTTTAACGCAAATCAAAGTCGACCATATAATGTATCTGCCATACAATGACCAAACGAGAGCTGATTGAAGTATCTGACATAACAAATTGACTTCACCAGGGGATAAAAAAAGGCCACAGCTTTTCTATGTGGCTCTGTATCTATAGTAGTAAAGTCTGCCCATAGTGTGCCTGTGGTAACTCATGAATGCCTATTTTGCCCATCTTCCATCTGACTGGGCTGGTCATGTAAAGATGTAATTTTCCAATTCTAAATTAAACATTTTAAAATGTCGTTGTGGTTTGACTTTGATAATACTCTAGTTGGAGCTCTTGGTAACCTTTGCATTGCAGCCTGCTGCAGACACTGCTAACCTTAAAGCCATGTCAATTTTAATATTTTTGTAGGTATGTGGAAAAAAAAAAACCCAATAAAAATATTATGCTAAATTATGGGTTAAAATATTTATTTCAGAGCATACACGCAGGGATTGAGGAGACAGCAGGTACTGCCCTCATGGGTTTAATGGTTTCGGGCAACTCGGTTTCAAAGATTTGATCAAAATGTCTGCATAATTAAATGGCAAAGACAAAAGTTATTCAGAGTGGTTTGACATAACTAAGGTTACGCTTACACAGCAGGTAAAAGTGGCCCAAATCCGATCTTTTTCCTCATATGTGACACAGATGTGTTATCTGTGTGGCAGTGTGAACAGCAAAAAACGCACTGAATCTGACAGTTTCAATTCCGATTTGAGACGCTTTCATATGTGGTACTGAAATCCGATATGTATCCGATCTGCGGCAATGCGACTCTGTCTGAACAGCCAGATCGGAATTCATGCGACTTTTACGTCAGTCCAACTCGGCATTCGTCATAATTTCGCGCTGCTGAGACTCATAAATGTTTAGTCTGATGTTTCTGTACCAAAACATTAGAAGAGACTCCCGAGTTCGAAGAGGTTTCGGACGAAGCGGCCGAGCGCGGCCGGAGGAGCCCGAGGCTGCAGCGTCAGAGAACAGTTTGAAGAATCCGAGGACACGAACCAAAGACGTGTCCGTGGCCGAATAACGAGCCCTTTTTACGGCGAACTCAAACACACTGTGGGTGATAAGTCCAGCTGTCAACCACTGGAACTTTATACTCGCTCCTGTGATGCTGGCGAAGACGAAACTGAAAGCTGCGGGAGCGACAGGCGTTCACTGGCTGTCATGACTGTTTACCTCTGGACCAGCCGCCACGTGAAGCACTGTTCTTTTGCGCATGCGGATCGGTTTAGGAGCTGATCTGTTCAGACTGATGTCGCATATAGATCACATTTAAAAGATAATGTGAACAGCCAAACCAAAAAATCGGATTTGGTGAGTAAATCAGATTTGGGCCACTTTTACCTGCTGTGTAAATGTAGCCTAAGTTAGAATGGTTCTCAGTGTTGTTGATTGGAACAAGACATAGTTCTATGCCTCTAAAAAGCTCCCTCTTAAAAAATTATATATATATACAAAATGGCTGTGAATGTGCTACCTGATGCCTAAAAACTGTTATATGATGGTTTAAATAAGATTTGGCTTAAAAAAAAATAAGCCAAATATGCCATTTTTTTCAGATTTACCACTATTTTGCCTTCATTATATATAAAAACTCTAGACATTCACTAGTTGTTTTGGATAGAAAATATAATGTCTGTTTTAGATGTGTGACCCCTGGTTCCTATCACCACCCCTGTAAAGAAATCCAAGTCTACATTTCTCTACAGTGAAACATTTTACATCGAACCACTCTGAATGACTCGTTTACATCCCAGTGTTTGAATTCTACAGAAACTTTGGTAGAAATCCCCTTTAACTGTTGGGTTGTCTTCTGCATAAACTAGGCATAGTGCAAGAAATGTTCAGACAAAGATTTGAACGGTAAATACCTGTATTGTGCAAGATCTTTTTAAAGCAGTGATTACTTAAGTCAGCGTAGTATTGGTATACATCATACATTTATTAGTGAACAACCCTCTCAAATCAGCCACAACAATTAAAAAAAATATGATTGCACTACTCAGTAAAGCAGAACTAGCAACTTTCATTTAAAAAAAGTACAAATCTTAAAAATTTCAATCAGTATACAGATGTGTATATAATAATACACTATACCTAGTTATATGTTAAATGCTACAAACAATATGATTCAAATGGAATGAAAAAAATTATAGCATTAAGAACCATTTCCTATATATAATATATATTAGCTTTTTTATTTTTATTTTTTTTACTTTTTTTTCTTTTTCATCGTTTCTTCCAAATACAAACATGGCAAAAATGAGGTAACTGTAAATGTGCAAGTACCAAAGCAAAAATATCTTCCTAACACAGAACACATGCCCCTGGCCCCAGTTGGCGGCTGGGTAGTCTGGAGTTCAGGCAGCGACCCTTCGAGGCCAGGGGGGCTATTAGAACAGTAAACAATCCACTATCCCACAGCAAGAAATCATTGGTAAACAATCAGTGGCATCTACGGAGCAATCAACAAATCACAAATCCTAAATAATTGTTTTAGCTGCTTATTGGAACACAATTTTGCACCACACAAGCTGTGAGATTATTTATTAATTGGATCACAGAAAGACTACAAGATTTTTTTTTTTATATGTATATTTTTTGTATGTATTTTTTCAGTACAGGTAACACTGAGGGTTGTTTTTTTTTCCTCAAGGAATTGGGTTATTGTGAAAATTTCCTTATAAATCTAAATAAGAGTACATTAGAAACAGCCATTAGGTTTCCCCCCCAAGCTAAAATGCTCGTGTATATGGCAACTGAATTCATTTTAACCATAACATTTACAGATAGTGCTTGTTTAAGGTAAAAGACCCTATGGCAGGTACATATTTTAACAGTTTTGGTGAGAGCAAGACAACGCTGTATATAGTCCCCTTTTAATACGCACAAATTTAAGGCAGATACACTTGATCTGATCACCCGGGCAGTAAAAGAATATTACATCGAGCTCACGTACCGTACTGTAGGTGTCGCTCGCTTAACAGTAGCCTCAGTTAAAACTTTTTGTTTTGCTTTTTCCTCCTTTGTAAAAGTCAAACCCCCTGTCAATACCATTAACACACGTCACTGACCATTCATAGGGGCACTACTAGCACTGCATGCTGTAAGGAATACATGAGATTCATAGCAAACTATTGCATTCCCTTATGTGAATGTAGCAACATACCTAAAATAGAACATCTAGCACCTTTGCACTATATGGCTTTCGATTATCTAGTTTCCAGGCATGTCAGTTTCAGTCACCGAGGCAACAGCAGAAGCACTAATGTGGTCAGGAGCCGGCATGGCTCCCGTCTTGAAAGCGGCCCTCTTCCCAAGCCAAAGACTAGCATCTCTCTCTCTCTTTTTTTTTTTGTTTGTTTCTTTGTGTAAGTACTAGCGCAATAAAATCTTGTAGTCATTCAGTTCTGTTACAAATGTGTGCAGTACAACGCATGGCAGTTTTCAGCTGAGCCGGAAGTCCCCGATCCCCCGGAACCCAAAGCCAACTAGAGCTTAAAAAAGGAGAGGAAAAAGAAAAAAATTAAAAGAGAAAGAAAATGATAGAAAAAAAAAAACAAACAAAAATAAAACACCCAGCTGGGATCTGGTTAGACACGCATGCATATTGTGCACAATTAAATAGTCGCCCACCCATGTCTAAATATCTCACTGAAAATACAGGTTTTATTTTTTTTTTTTTCCATTTTTGTTATTTTTCTCCTTTTAAATCATGCAAACACTGTTAGAATACGTTTTTTTTCCTTTTTGGAAGTGGTTTAGGTAGGATATTGTGCTCGGCTGCACGTTCTTCGACGGGATCACGACCTCTATGTGTGGTTCAAGTACAAGAACACAGAAAATCAAACGTTAAAAACAGGTTTGGAGTAACACTCGGATGATTGGTTGCAGTGAAACATTTGCCTATTCTCACTTAATACAACTCTATTTATTTATTAATATTTTTTTTTTTTCCCCCTTGCATGCCGGTCTTTAGATGGAGTAATATTAACTACCATTAAAAAGGAATATTAATTCAGTTGGTTACACTTAAAATATGCATGGCCTGAGGAAAACGACCAAGAAAATTCAACAAACACATCCCCTTCATGGCATCAATCCCATTTTAAACGGACTGTTTTCCTTTATTTTTCAGTTACTGAGAGGCCCTGAGAGTTTTTTTTCTTTCTTTTCAAAATATATGCCAGTGAACAGATATGTATACACAGATTATTATCAAAAGTGTGGGTTAAATTCATCACAATGGCTTTTTTTTGTTTGTTTAAATACCTGGCACGCATCAGCACAGACTCACATGCTTCTAAAAATCACAGCAACATCCCTTTACCCAAGAAAGCAAGTCTGTCTATCTGCTTATAACTGCTACTCAGTGTACACAATGAAGCAGGAATATATATATACCATATATATATATATATATATATATATATAGATTTGTGTCCTATAATTAGCAGTACTTTAAGAAAAGAAAAGGGGGGGGACAACCCTTCTTAAACATTATCCCCTCCATTTCAGTTTGTTTTGTAAAGAGTTCTAAGCAAAGTGGACCAAGAGCTGAGCATGTTTACAGTGCATTTCTATCAATGACCCCCCCCTTAACTCCAACTCGCTATAAAATCCTGTCCGGATCATTGCGGAATTAACTACAGTCAGCTGGCACACAAGTAGAGTCTACATATTATGGGGTTGTTTTTTTCCACATTCTTCTGTCTTAAAAACAAGACTTTTTTTTTTTAACTTCTCAAACTATGCGTACAATGCTTTATCTTTTAACAACATTTTCGAACACCACTAGCATGGCCTGGGACCTGACAATGTTGCCAAAACACATACACCGAAGACACACCGCACTAGTATTCTGCCCTTATCCTTCAGAAGTTTTTTTTTTTCCTTCTCTCCAGGAAGATAAAACCAATAAATAAAACACCGTTTTCTTTCCTTTTGTTTAAACCGCACACGTTAAACCGACTACGGCTTCTCTTTTAAGATTAGTAACAGGTTTGTGCTTGTCAAAAGGTCTTGAAGAAGGCAGAGCTGAATTCTTGTAGAGTATATTGAATATTTGGCTCACAAACGAGGAAAAAGCCTGGTCCTCCAAAAAAAAGAAAAAGAACACGAAAAACAACTAAACCAAAAACTGAAAAGGACTAAAAATGTAAAATGTTTCATTCACTCATTGCACATATTGCTTTCTGCAAAAAAGGGGGTTCTCCAAAGTCGTTTTGCTCTATGGACGTCGATGTATGACCAACACCTCCATGGCCGACCGGTGCTGAGGTCGACCCTCGTTCTCTCTTTCTCTCTCCTCTTTTTTTCCCGCCGGACCTGGGTCGTTAAAAAACTGCTGAAATGCGGTGGAGCTTTTTGTCAATTAAAAAAATATTGCTAACCTAAAAAGAAACAGTCCGTGCAAAGGCCTGCGGTGAGTTCTCCTGGAGAGAGCCAGAGAGCTAGAGTGATGGGTGGAGGTCAGGAGGCTTTCCCAGAGGGCCGTGGGGCCTGTCGGCAGTGGAGGGGGTGGGGCGTGGGGGGAGGGGGTGGGACTTTTGTGCAGCACACCCTGGAGGGAGGCGGCTGGAGGTCAGAGGGGGGTTTAAAAAGGTCAAAAAGGTCAGAGGCGCGGCGGCGTCTGTGTTTCTCCTGGGCCGCGCGGCGACCTTTCCAGCGCAAGCAACAGTGCAAAAGTCCACAGCGATGAGGCCTAGAGTCCGTCTCAAAAGAGCACGTGTCCCCTCAGTGTCTCTCTCACCGCGTGGATTCCCCATACACGCACACATCCGGTCATGTCTGCAGTACTGTTTTTTTCTTCTTCTTCTTCTTCTTTTACCTCAGGCCTCCACTGCAAGTCATACTTTCACATTAACATTCGCAGGTTAAAAAGAGTCGGGATAAAGATATTGAAATCATCAATACATTATTGCAAAACATACATTATTAACAAGTCACTTGAGCCCATCACCTATACAAACATGCATCTTATGATGGTCGAAACGTTTCCTTATGGTGTCTTTATGGACAAACCACCTTTTTTTTTTTCCTTTGCTTTTCTCGCCCGCTTTGTCTGATTGCACAACGTCATCAAACCCAACCACCGTCCAGGTCCTCTCCCGATCTCCCTCAACACCACTAAAGCACAACTTGAATTATCGGTGATCAAACAACTAGAGAATATTCAATCGTGTAAACAAAGATGCCAACACAACACGTATTACAGGTTATCTTTGGAATCTGCGAAAACGAGGGCAGAGAAAGAAATGAAAAAGGGTCACAACTGCAGAACTCTAAAGGGGGTGGAGTTTGTAAGCGGCAGTAGCTTTCATGAAAACTCACACAATGATGCACAGCAGAGGTCTAACAGGTTTCCGTACAAATTCCAAGATTGCTTATTTGTCGAAAGTTGGGGGTGGGCGGGCGGGTGGGAGATGCTTTTGCATTTGGCTGGAGAGCACGGGGTCGGGTGGCATGGTGTGTGTGCCTGCTCGCACGACACACTCCAAGGTTTGTGCTGTTTTCCAGTGAAGGACGAAGGCCTGGACTCACTCCACGTCCCGGTGAACTTCAGACGCGTCCGCGCGGCAGATCGGACAAGTGCGATTGGTCTGCGCAACATCAACAGTCAGTCAACGACAAACAAATTGGACCTCCAGCCCACTTATCATTGTACTTACACATCATGTTTTCTACAGCAGAATAACACTGGACAATTGTGTTTTGTATATTTAAAACAATGATGACTGATTAAATAACTTAAAATAAATGTTAATGATTTAATTAACTTTAAACAGTTTTTTTCCACTTTTTCTAATTTAAGTGACCCAATTTTCATCACCACAACAAAGTAAGATTTGAATATAAATCTGTAATGTTTTTTTAGTAATCTGTATACTGTCTGACTAAATAGTTTAAGGCTATTTTTAAAAACATATTTACAAAATATATTTTGTGAATATTCTGTTCCTGACATTTAAATTAGTTTTACATTTACATTTCCTTAGACTTTACAATGATAATGTTAAAGCAAAGAGATTCAACAGGTAAAAGTCACAAGTTAAAAGTCTTTTTTTCTGAGAACTTTTTTTTATAAATGATATCAGTAATCAGAAGCAGGTATGCGAGTGTGTTTTGGTAATGATAATTAGGGTAAAAAAAACTTTTTTTGCTGTGCCATATAAAGATGCAACTGCTCTACTATATTATATGAATATTATTTATCTAGGAAATTAACAGGCTTGGCTGTTTTAAAGGGCCATTCTAGCCTAAGACTAGAATTTAATATATTATTTGTTGTGTTATGCAGTATTCTGTAGTGACATGTAACCCCCAGTATAGTCTGCACGTCCACTACTATTAAAATATGTTGCATAAACCAAGCAAAGTATTTTATTCATTATTAAAAATGAACTCCTTCTAGTAGCAGGTTGCCATTTTTGTTGCAGCACTGTAGCTAGAAACTGATGACCAATCTCACAGCAGTTACTACAAAACACTTTTGTGGGCAGAGCATGAACAGGTTAGTCTTAATCCTTTCTGAAGTCTATTTTACCCCACTGCACTGTATTATCATTATTATGTTATAAAGAGGGTATAAACTGATGTTATTCATAACCATGACCCTTTCAGAAATTAACAAAACAGTTTAAATGTCTGCAGTGTGGAAAAGTGCTGGAAGGTCCCTATCAGTCCCTAATGTCCTACGTGACTAATTGATGCACTTACCTTTAACCATTTGTCCACACACTTTGCATGAAACTCGTGATTACAGGGTAATACTCGAAGTAGCTGCCTTGACTCAAAATCACTAAAGCACACAACACACCTGTAAGGAACAAAGACAAACAGTATTGTATGGTTTACGTTTTGATAATAGGAGTCCTATCAAAGCAGTGAAATTTCACATTGTGGTTACATATAAGCATGTATCACTTACAAAGTTTGTTCAGATTGGTGATTTTCTGAATTGAACCTGTAGGATGGAAGCTGTTCTATGTCAGCTTTTGTCAGTCCACGAGGTTTAGCCTCCCCGAGCCGTTCAGCAAGGTTTAGTAACGCCTGAGGCAGAAGACACAATGTTGATCACATGCTCTCCGAAAATGATGCTAGTTGAGCTTATTCTGGAAACTTGTGACTTGGAGTAACACAATATGAAAATGGCACCCAGTTTAGTTTTTGCACTCACCTCATAATTCTCCATCTCCACATCATCCACGTCCAGATCCAAGCTGATGGCCGGGCCCACAGCAGTCGGAGGCACAGGAAGCATTGAACTGTTCACACACAGAATGTAACACAGACATGTCAACAACCAGGTACACTAGTTAAAGGCAAACCTGCATGTCCAAAAACCAAAACAGTTATACAAAACAGTTTATAGTTGAGGCAGCAGATCTGTTAAAGGAGAACTTTTATTTATTTTTCAATATAGGGCGATATTTAAACGACTAAAGCAGGGGTGTCCAATCTTATCCGCAAAGGGCCGGCGTGGTTACAGGTTTTTACTCCAAACAAGCTGAAGCACACCTGACTCCACTTGTTTGATCAGTTGGTCTTCAAACATTTCATCAGGTGACCTCCTGCTTTGTTGGAGTAAAAACCTGCAGCAACACTGGTCCTTTGCAGATAAGATTGGACACCCCTGGATTAAAATATGAACAGTCATTCTGAGAGGTTTGATGAAAAAAATGGGTTTTTTATGGCAAAACCTAAAGAATTTTTACCAATATTTTACCATTAACATTACATAAAAACTGTTGGTTCACTGGTCATTTTGGTTAGTAAATAAGTTCCTATGACAACCACTGTAAAGAAATATGAGTCAGTGAGTATCTCTACAGTGAACCATATAACATCATATCTCTCTGAATGACTGTTTACATTCTCAACCACTGAATTATGCAGACATTTATACAGAAAAATGTGCTGGGATCTGGAATGGAAACAAAACGATGGAACAAAATGTGGTTGGGTTCCTAAGGCATCACATATGAATACTTCAGAATTCAGCTTAATGTTCTGGCTGTTGAGCAGCTCATATTAAAAAAGCAGTTAATATATTATGTATTTTCAAAATGAGCATTTGGGTATGCAGAAGGAGAGAAAGCTCTTACAGGAAGTAAGGTAGGAAGCCAGGGTAGTAAGGTGGAGGTGGGGGTGGTGGCGGCAAAGGCTGCTGTAACCGGTATCTCTGGCCACTCCCGCGCCTGGGCAGCACATGTGCATATGGCTGGAAAAACAGATAGCACAGAGTGAGCGCAAGTTCTACTTGCCAAACTGCCTAGGAATACCAAGAAGAATCTTAACATGGAGATTCTTAAGTCAGAAGCAAAGCAAATATTTAAATGTCAAACATTTGAACGTTTCTGGGTCTTAGTTAATACACAAGGAAATATGTAAGATGGGATACTGCCTAACCTTAACTCACTACACCTTCTTGGAGATGTTTGAAAAAAATGGGACACTGTCTGAAACATGCACATAGCTTGGGTACCATATGGACTAGACCAGCCTGGAGTTAAATAATTGACATATGGTTACATAACTAAGGATAATATGCACCATGTACTGTAGAACCGTTAAAACAAAGAAAACAAATCTCAAACAGGCCAACTCACCACTCCGAAGGGCAGCTCTTGGTGGAGGGGTTCTTGAGGGAGGTACTGGAGGGGCACAGAGGGGGGCATGGCTGCTGGTGGGTGATGGGCAGGAGGGTAAGAGAATGTTCCCAAAGGATGCTGGTCTCCTCTCAGGTCCACTTCATTCTCCACTCTCTGCAGAGGCTGACAGATAAGAACACTGGTTCACATCTCAGAAAGTCACTACATTTCAGTGGAATAATGTACTGTGGTTAACAATGAATGAAAGGTAATGGAGACCAAATAGCATGAAAGTATCATGGTAGGTACTTATAGAACAGTAAATACCAACTGTGGGTTACTCATTTTTATTGTTATTAGTAATAGCAATGGTATGGGAAATACTCCGTTTAATGGGCCAAGAAACATTTTACATAGACCTTTCAAGGATAAATAAATGCCCCTAAAATTCATGTGGTAATGGTAGAAATACAGTGAATGAAGAGTCTGTTAAAGCTGACACAGATGTGTGCAGACAGCAAGGTGAGTCAAAATCAGCAATTCAGCTGCTTAACATTTACAAACCTATGGCACTACATTGGGAACACTGCAGACACAGTGTTCTCAAAACAATGAGAGTCCAGACCTCAATGTCACTGAATGTGTTTGGGATTACTTGGATAGTGAGAGGCAGAAAGTGCAATGAACGCAGAAAACAAAATTAATAATCTGTACTTATAATGACTGTTATGACTGGAAATTAAATAGACAAAGAGTCATCTTTTGCACAGTTCTGTGCAATTCTGTGCAGTTCTTCTGGTTCAAAAACACTGTATAGAAAATATTACATGGGTCATTTGCACTATTACAATAAATTAATGGCACTGAATTAAGCCTTTGAAGCATTTGTCAATTTAATAGCAGCTGAACGTTTAAAAAAAATGCACCGGTTATGTGCAAATCTCACCAACCTCCAGTACAAAGTACACACTAAAGTTCCAGCATGGCCGGATTTCATTATTAAGCTTAGCACACTCCTTATGGGAACATAGTAAATGAAATCAAACAGTGTTGTGCAGCGTTGATTTATGTGCATATATGTATGCCATTATATATATATATATATATATATATATATATATGAATGCCTGTATAAATGCCGATAGAGTATGGGTGCCCAATCTGACTCTTGGACATCTATACACTCTGTGATATAGAGCAAGAAAGGGGTCATTTTCGTAATCAAGCTGCAGGTCTTACCATCCGTGGGTGCTGTGGCTGCAGGGGGACGAACTGGCTCAGAGGGGCCAGGTGAGGGGGCTGGTGAGGCGGCACTGGAGGACTAGGGTGCAGAATGAAGTGCTCGCTGGAGATCAGTGGCGGAAAGGCTTGGTAAGACACTGGCAAGTGCTGCATGGTACATGCCTGAATTAGCTGCAGAGCGGAAAGAGAGTAAAGAGAAAAAAAAACAATCAAATCTAAAGACAGTTCCTTGTTTTAGAGGGCCATCTGTATCTTCTCTTACTCGGCCATAAAGCTTTTTCATAGAAACTTAAGCAAGCAGTAGTGAACAAATATTGTAAACATCAACATATTCAATCACCATCTGACCACAAAAGTAGGCAATATCTCTCAACTCTACAAACATATTTCAATTAAACTGCTTTCTAAGAGCTTCGTTGTTTACAGGCTGTGAAACAGCTGCAGACGTAACTGCACTCACATGACAAACCACCTTATGATGCTTGTCTGCAAACAGCAAACCATGAAGAGCAAATCGCGTTGAAAAGTCCTTAATCTGGTTCGATCACAATACAGACTGGACAGTTGCTTGATCACTACCATCACAGTGCGTACACTGACATAATACAAGGGTGGTAGGTACTATGTTGACAAGACAGATGCAATGAGTTAAGCAGATGACAAAATCAGCAGACATTATGATTCGCTTCAGTATATATTTATGTGAAAGAGATAAATAAACAATGCACAGTGGCTGCTATGACGGCCTGGACCAAATGCACGAAAGGAACTGTTCGACCAAAATGTTCTGATGGCTGATGAAAAATGGCAGCTAGCAGCCTCCAATTAAAATGAGTTAACTGGCATAATAACGCAGTCAGCTTTCACTCGTCATTAGCCACGTTACCATGTAGATGTTATTGCCTTTTGGTCAAACTGTTCTTTTAAGCTGGCGTAAAGCTGGAGCGGTGTGATACAGTAAGTGCGCTCTACACAAACTTCACTGACATTCCAGCTCTTCCTTTTCAAACTCACAGGAGGAGGAAGGCAGCAGAGCAGAGAGAGCTGTCCGCTGAACATTACCGAGCATGCTGGGAGCTGCTGGGCGTTGCACGCTGGGATCGGTTGCCCCGTGTGGATGGGAAAACCGTGGGTCGTCACCGTGGTTACTGTGTAAGATATTGGAACTGATCCTTGATGCATCTTGGGGGGGAAGATACAAGAACATTATTTAGAAAATGAAATGAAGTGAATATTTAGATTTAAAAAAAAGAATGTGCTCTAATGTCAGGTTACTCGATAAAGGCAATGGAAACATACAGTCGAGACTGCACGCAATTTGAACATGCATAAAAACATCTTGGGGCGCATACTTGTTCCATGAAAGAACGTTTTGTGCATTTCAGCTGCCACTTAACACTGGGTTTTTGTTTTTTTGTGATATGTTTGCAGTTTGTTCTGAATTTCCACACTAGAAACTAGTGGAGTTTGTCTGGGCCATGGCTCAGGAGACCTTTGACAACAGTAGGGCAGTTGCACTGCGTCGAGGATAAGGAGTAGGGTTGCGCAATGAATCTTTTTTTTATCGCTATATTTATTCGTTTGAGTGCCTGTATAAAAATAACTATATACTTATTTGTTTTTTATTGCCTTTATAGAAAAGGCTGTTGAGGTAATGCTGACTTTCTCAGCCTTTCAGTGTACAAAAAATGTGCTTGCAATTCTCAGTAGCTGTTAGTATTTCTTTTTATTTTTCACAGTACTGAATGGGACTTCTACAATTTTGTCTTTTGTTATTTGCTTAAAGGAAAAAAAATTCTGTTTACAGAAAAAGTCTGTCACATCCCATCAGAAGCACTCTAGTTTAATAATTTATTGCTTCTCGTGTAGTCATCGTGACATTCAACAGCTTTATTTAACATCATATTTTACACCAATATTGTACTTTTCACTGTGGTAGTCTGACTGGGCCGAGGGTGGGAAGAATTTGAGTCTGACTGGGCCAAGGGTGGGAAGACTTTTTGCCGCATTAGTGGAGTCCGACTGGGCCACAGGCTGGGAGACTTTTTACCATAGTAGCAGAGTTTGACCGGGCCACATTCCAGGAGACTTTTCACTCGGGTGTCGGACACAGCCACCACTTTTCACTGCGGCAGTGGTGTTTCACTGGGCACAACCTGGGAGCTGTGTATTGAACTGTAGTCTTATTGCTATTGTAAATAACAACATTATTTATTTGTTATTTATATATATGGTTATTGTTATTGTACTTGGGTTTGGAAAAAGGCACTGTATAAATGCAATGAATTATCATCATGTTATCATTACGCTATGATCTTATTTTGTACTTTTGCAAGTACTGAACTTGCAAATGTCAAGGTATCGCAAGTTTAACATTTTTGTCATATCGCCCACTGTTACTGTACACAAATACTTTTATCCCCAAACACATTTCAGCAGCCCTGCAGGAGCGCAGCCCACCTGTTCGTGAAGATCCACCATGATGGAGCTTTGCTGAGGCGGGTGCGTGGCTGGATGGAGCATGCGTGGTGGTGCGCTGGCGTGGCTGTACTGCCTTGACTCCTCTAGAGGAACGTGCTGATGCTGCTGCGAGAACACAGGATGGTGAAAGGTCTCATCCTGCCGTAGGGAACCGTGCAAAACAGGTCTGTCTCGCTGTCCCCACTGCCGTCGCACTGGAGGACTAGAGTGCGAGAACGCACACAGAAGAACAAACCCCCCACACACACAGACACACACACGCTTTACCACCAAACAATGTTATCTCACTTAATTAGCATTCTGCATAAGGTGGGAAAACACACAACTAGAGACCTTCTATTTTTCCAAATGGCACGAACTGAGCCATATTGTTTATACAGAGCACAAAAATGTGTTGAAATCATTTTTGGTATCTGAAGTACAATAATATGTAACCATAATCAATATTTGTTTCAGCCAAAATCCATCCCTCTTCAAGCCAAAGAGTTCCAAAGTAGTCTGGTTGCACTTTTAAACTTGATAAAGAGTGTCTTAAACTAGTAAAAGAGATTACTAGATATTTCTAGAGAACATACTAGGTTCTCCTAGCCTGTTAGTGTTGTCACATAGCTTAAACACATGATAGCCTTTGGCTATAACTACAACAAGCTCATACATCACCTCAGTTGTCTAAGGAGCCTGTTTCCCAAGCAACTGAAAACAGGAAAAAGACTTTAGTAAATCCTCAGCTATATAAACTTTTCATATTTACACTTACTTAGTTACTTGACTTAGTTTGAAAGTTCGGGTAAGAACCAAGGGTCTCATCTTGCTATTTGTAGCAAATATTTTCATCCAAAACATTCATTGTTTGAAAGCTGCTCAGTAGGCTTCCTTGACTGTGCACGAATGTAAAATGCACAAGTGGCAATCCATGCAATTATAACATACATAATTATACCCATATAACATACATACCTTTTCTCTTTCTGTTTTATTAAACTTAGTCTTAAAGTAACCTGATCAGATTAAGGGTGGTAGGGAGCATTTGCACACTAATTTATATGGAATTATTTTGCTGCACAAATGCTGTACACAGGAACACAGATACTGCCTCACAAAAGAAACTTGTTGATTGAGGGATTAGAGTTCAGTCGCAGAAAAACACAAAAGTTGCCACGTCTGAATTGTAACTTATTTAAAAATGCATTTAACTGTCAAAATGCATTACACTGTCTATTTAACAGTCAAAGTAAATATGAATTTCTGATTCTGTTCTGAAGAATTTAGAATGATTACCAGAGGAACGTATCACAGCAAAGAAAATGAAAAGTGGATAAACTGCTCTTGTTGCTAATGATGTTGATCATACACAGGTATCAATGGCCGACTGTTTGGAGGTTGTAAATCAGGTTTACCGTTTCTAGATGTTGCCTCGTCAACGCGAGTGCCTCTGTAATTTAGTTCAAAAAAAGTTTAACTCTGTAAAAAGTTCAATTTCTTCACACACTGTGTTTAACACTGATACTTGGAGTCAAAATACAAATTTTGAATGTATTTTTTCTGAGGTTATATATTCTATTATTTTTAAATATTTAGAAATCTGAAAGGCTAAAACAGTCATTACGACACTGTGCTGAACTCTACAGAGGCTGAGTTGGGCTTCCCTGCACCAGACTATGCAGTGCTCAAGCCCAAACATAAGCGATGCTGAGCCAATCTATTGGAAGAAAGGCAACGGCTGACCCACCTTCTCCTGAGGTGCACAGGCGTGTTGCAGGGCTCCCCGAGGAACCTCCTCTGGTTTAAGGGGGCTGTTGGCGGCCGCCTATTCACAGCTATTTCCCATGGTCGCATTTGTGACGTCGTGCCGAACGAGTCACAGCTGGGGGTGGCGGAGCAGTAGTGCTAGAGGCACTTGGGTCTCACAGCCTCAGATTGTCTTCAGTCTGTCAAAACACAAACTAGGAGAGTTGAGCAAAAACAAACATTTCACATTTATTATCAGCATCAATGTACGTATGATTAAAGAAAGGTATGTGACAGACTGACTACAGTTCTTTCCCTTTATTTTAGTGTATTCCGACAGTACTGCAACAACAGGTAGCACTTTACTCATTCAGGGTTATTTAAACTGCATTAAATTCAAAATACATTTTCTAAAAGCAGCTCTTTAAAAAGGAAACTCCACCGATTTCTTCAAAAATTCTACATAATTAAATGGTTGAGATGTAAACAAACTAATTTAGAGTGGTTTCATGTGAAATGCTCTGTTCTAGACAAACTTACTACATCTCAAATTTTCACAGTGGTGGTAATAAGAATCAGACATCCACCTCTAAAAGCTCCCTCACAAGAAGGTTATTAGAAGAAATGTTTAGATACATACTGCATGATGTCAGACATTGTTTTATGGAAGTTTTGTGATAAAGGTTTGGTTAAAAAAAGTATTTCAATCCATTTATTTTAAACTATTCATGGCGGCGGAGTACATGCAGGGTATTGCAAGGCAAAAGAAAAACTTATTTTTTCAGATTTATGACTTTTTTACCATCAACATTACATATAAAGACTCAGAAGACACATGTAGGTTCACTGGTGGTTTTGGATGGTAAACATGACCCCTGGTTCCTATCACCACCACTGCAAAGAAATATTAGTCTCTCTAATGAATCATTTCACATCAAACCACTCAGAGTGACTAGTTTTACATCTCAATGACTGAATTATTCAGAAATTGTGAAAAATTGGTGGGATTCCCATTGAATTCAGCCAGCATCCTGGACTGTTTACCTTCAAATAGGCCCTAAACTGACCGTGCACAGCATTGGCTATATGTTTTCAGGATTGCAGCTTTCACATAAACCAACGGAAAAAACTAAAACAGGTACAGCAGACTCTCAAAGTTGTTAATAACGAGGAACACTTAAGGTGTGGTTGGCAAAAGGCGGAGATAATCTGCTGGTGAGACTCCAGAGCTGGTTAGGCTCGTACTCCAACAAAGCGCGGACGGCCATGTGCTCATAGACAAAGCAATAACAAAGAGGCGACACCAAATGAGCGCCAGCCTGGTCCAGCCCTGCTCTGCCTGTGCAAAAGTGCACCCAGTGCGCAAATGAACCACGTTTTACATGGAAAAATACTCAAGAGTTTGAGATTTTGCCTTAGAATTCAATATATGGTAGGTTCTTGCAGCACTTAGTCCAGCTATACGTGAGGAAATGAGGAGCCAGCCAGCACAAAGACAGTGCAGCAGCAGTAGCAGCAGCGCATGTGGCTCACTTTGTTTGGGTTCGCTAGTGCTAGCTGCAGTCTTCTGAGGCCGATAGCTTTAATGCCTCCGAAAAGCGAATAAAAGTGGCGGTAAACAAAAAAAAAACAAAAAACACCGGCATGAAAACGAAACACAAGACCGACCACTACTTCTACTACCGTTACTCATTTCTCACGAACTGTTTTTAGCGCAGACTGTATGCAAACAAGCTCAAACAGGAAACGTAAAACGAAGCTGAAGTTGGCTTCCTAATCGAATTTCACGTTCCACCTTAAATGGTGCAGCAGTTACATTCTGGCGCCTCGCGCCAGAATGTAACTGCTGCACCATTTAAGGTGGAACGGGTACATCAAACAAGAAGCTAGCTTCAGCTTCCTAAAGTGCAATGTAGCAGGTTAGCTTAGCTGAGCTGTATTGTTTATGTCCAAGACTGGGCTTTAGAGAGCTGAAGCTGCTCTAAATAATGAAGTATGTCGTTTTGAGTGTGCTTAACGCCAACGACAAAAGGCTAGCTAGCTATGTATGCTAGCATTTGGGTAATTTTGGTATTTTGTCGCGAATAAACCAATTAACGTTAACCTAGCTGGCTGGGCTAAAGTGCTTGCTAGCATACCTTACTTGTTTTCAACTCAGGCGCGTCCCTTGCAGTTCGGCTGGTGGCTTTAATAATAAAAAAGAGTTGCCTTTTGTAAATAAATAGTCCTAATCCAGCCGTTAGCAGCTCCACATCAAGGTTCATGCATGCTTCACTATTGGACTAACGTTAACGTTATCCTCCCTCTTTTATTGTCCGTTTACTTCCTTTCGCATGAGGCTGCTGCTCGTTAACGTTAGCCTTGGTGAAGTGTTCATGTCCAACACGGGCTTTAAAAGATGGGAAAGTCCATCAGCGCTGGAGGTTTATTCCTTTTGTTTGGGTTGGCTTTGTCCATTCCCGAGTTAACAGACAGAGGCGGAGATTTTAACTGTTTCTTTCAGAATCATCGCGTCTTCGCGTTTCAGCCACATTTAAGTCGCAACATTCCACTGCGCGTGTTGTCATTCTGCTGCTGGGGTCCGTTTGCTTGTGAATGAACCGGATCTTTGCAAAGAATCGGTCGAACCGACTCATCAGCTCAGAAAGAGTCTAACTTTTTTTTGTAGTACTTAAAGGGGAACTCCACTGATTTTTCAAAATTTCAAAATTAATATGTGAACATAATCATCCATAGTGGTTTGATGTGAAATGCTTTGTCGTAGAGAAACTTGCCAAGTCAGAATTGTTCACAGTGGTGGTGATAGGCACCAGATGTCTGAAGAGTTTAATGCCTCTAAAAGCTCCCTCATAGAAATGTATTACATTAAGTGGTTATGAATGCGCTGCCTGATGTCTGAGACATTGTTTTATGGTAGTTTTGTGATAATGTTTTGGTCTAAGATGTATTTTTAATCAATCCATTATTACTAGTGGAAGGATACATGAAAGCAAAATAGTTCCCAAAGACAAGTTTATTGTTTTTTTTTTTAAGATTTTTTAGACATCGGGACCCCTGGGTCCTATCACCACCACTGTAAAGAGGCGAGTAGGTAAGTTTGTCTAGAATGAGCGATTTCACATCAAATCACTCTGAATAACTGTGTTTATGTAGAATCTCAACCACTGAATTATGAAATTTTGAAAAATAGGTGGAATTTCCCTTTAAGCAATGTGTGCTTTAGTGTTTTAGGTGGAAGACTTTTTCTAATAAGATTCCAACACAATTTAACCTTCCAAAATTTCTGCAAAACATACCACATTGTAATACATTCACAACAACCACTCAATCATGGGATGTGCAATGATACAGCATTCCTATCGTTATCTGCAGATAACCACTTATAAAAAAAAATATTGGCGCTGGACCAATGCTTAGATCTGAATGATGCATTTACTGTATCCGGGAAGAGCAGAATGTTCTGCTAAAAGTTTGCATTTCATTCATTTGTATATGTCACATTTGTCCATGATACTAATTTAGGTGGTTTCTATGTAATGTCTATCGGCATCAGCATCGACAAAAGCCTCTGATGCATGTTTGTGCCATGTGGGTCTAACTCTGTCCCAATTGGTGCATTTGGGGACCTCATTAGCACATGCCTGTGAGGGTCACAAGGCCGCAAGACGTCCCATTTCTCATTCTGGGGGTCAAAAGTGGCTGTGCACCTTTTGGCGCAGCGTTTAAACTTCTTGCTTAAAGTTGCTTGACCGACATGGCAGAAAAGAAGATATTCAGGTGTGGATTAAAATGCATTTGTTTATTCACTTACAGTCTCATTGAGCTGCAATATGCTTGCAGTCTAGATTGCTGATAAGCTAATTAGCTCATTTACAAAAAAGGGAGAACAATCATGAACATAATCTCTGCACCAAAATGCAGACAAACGCAGGGGACAAGAATAAGCTCGACAAAATCTTCACGGATGTTAGATGCACTTTGCTGAACTGAACATCACTGTACGCAGAGCAGAATGACGTTTTAAAACATACTGTTCACTCTCCAGTCCTTACATGGAAACTAAGCTGCTTAAACAGGCTGTTTCGAATTCACTGCTTTTTTTTTTGAAAACCATGTCATTTACATATATATGCCTATTCACTTTAGCTCCACCCATTCTTGCCAAAGTTATAAGGAGTGCTGCTTTTCTAGAACAAGAGCAATACAGAGCAGCCAATCAGAACTCATTTACATATATCAGTCTTAACGGCACAGTAACAAAAACAGTCTTCTTAGATCTAAGGCATGAAGAGAAGTTGGAAAAATGGTCAAGTAAAAATGAATCACTGGCTGTTGACTCTCCACTTCCGATGGTCTTTAGTCATACAAAGACCCCTCACACCCCAGTCACCCTCTCTTCCAGTGGGTTTCATCTCCGAGGAGACCAATAGTGAGAGCTCTAATGACTCGGACCAACAGTCACCTTCACAGCTTGTTTCCTCAGGCCATTATCCTCCTGAACAAGGAGGCTTCTCACATCCTTCTGCTTTAAGCTGCTGCACATGCACTTTATTACACAGACTGCAATATACATAATCACTGTATATCCAGTAAGTCTTCTGAATGAGAGCCTTTCCCACTTTCCTATATTGCAGGCAGTGCACTTTAACTTTATAAATTACAATAATGTACATATTTTATAAATATGCTGAATAATTCTTTCAGCTATAATCTATATATGTAGTTCAGTATACATACATATGCGCACATATTTTATATATATTTGTGTGTGTGTGTATATATATATATATATATATATATATATATATACACATACATGTATATTATACACACACACACACACACACATATATATATATATATATATTTGTCAAATAAAGTTCCTGATTCTGAACTACAACCATTTTCTAAAGGCATAAACCCAAAAATTTTATAAATGGACTATCAAATAAACTATCAAAAACTGTAGGATAAGGGCCTTTTAACTACTCGGTCTGCACCCCAAAACGAAAATACATTGCTGAATCAGTCATTCACTGAAGTGTCTAAAAATTTGCAATGGAGTCCGCTGCCAACAGCGCGTACAAACACTGGACATCAGACTTGCTCACTGAATTGAACAACATTGTGCATGAAGAGGAGAAAAGACAAATAAAAGTTCACTTTTTAATTATTGTGGACCTTAAATTCAATTGAAAAGGTATGAATGGGACGAGAAAAGCTGATCTGACCAAATGAATCGAAAATGAATCGTTTGAGTCAGACGTCCAATTCATTGAAACGGACGGTTCAAAAGAATCGGATTCATACAACTGAATCAAACTTCCCTTCACTGCCGTTTACGGCATAGAGCGTGACGTCAGGGTTCATTCGTAGCCCCGCCCTCTTCCACCAACAAGCCACGCCAATGACAGAGGGAGCAATGAGTGACAGGTCGTTTAACAAAACTAAACGACCACAATGTGATATTTTAGAGGCCTACTGAAACTTCAGACTTCTTTTTTGCACTGATTTGCTTTTTGCTATCCAACAACTGATCCAAACCACAGCCAAATAGACTCGCAGTGGCAATGAGCAACTGATTCAACTGCCACTCTAATAGTTATACAGTGAATTATTACACAGATAATCTACATAACACACTAGTAAAAATATTTTGTATGTTAATAATTGTTGCAGCACTGGGTCCTGCGATATGATAATTAACGAAAAAGGCTGCAATTATCACCTTCCATTTGGCAGAACGCCTGGCGCGTCTGAATCAGGCTTTCCCACTTCTAACCTCAACTGAGCAAATGTTCTGAAGAATCACAGATCTTCACATGATCTGACAAATGCAGTCTGCACTCCTTTTTCCACACTCATATCATCCCGCTGCCCCATTTTTTAAAATGTCATGAAAATATCATTCACTGATATATTTTCCTCTTATTGTTACTGCAAAATATGGTTCTATGTCCTTGTCCATTCTAAAGGCCCTATATCCCACATTTTACTGTGTCTTATTTCCCCTGAGGTCCATGTATGACCTCATTTGTGTGGGTTTATACACCAAAAACAGTCAATATATAATTTTGACACAATCTCTCTTTATCCCTTAATCAGGCTGTTTCTGTTACTGTGCCTTTAAGACTGAGATATGTAAACAATCTCTATTCTGATTGGTTGCCCTGTACCATGCTTTGTTCATAAAGCAGTCTGGACAGAAACACTTCTAACTTTTGGAATAAGCTGTAGAATGAATAGGTGGATGTAGGCAAAAGTAGTTTATGTGACATCACAAATATAGTGATATTAAAATAGGCAATTTAGTCTTCATATGTGGACTGTATGGACTGGAGAGTGAATACTTTTTCAAACTATTATATGTTTTACTTACTACATTAAACTTTAACTAAGAAACTAAGAAAATTGGGGAAACTTTATTTTTCCATGATATGGGACCTTTAAAGCATAAATAATGCCAAATGAAAGGTTTTCCAATTAGGAAATCACCAGATAGTTGAGTTTAAAACATCTCATGCATCTGTTTTCTATCATGCAGATATGGCATGCAGTACAATGAAACAATACCACTGAGTTACAATAGATTTTAACATGGCAAGTAACTTTATATAGCCTACTATTAGAAGTGAGCATTAGCAGTTACAAACACTGTTAATTAACTTATAACAAACAATAATACACCTATCTAGCAATTAATTAATATTACCATAAAGCTTGCCAGATGTGTGGACTGACAGTTTATATGTTAAATTGCAAAATGTCTACACAATTAGCAAATAGGATTCTTCAAAATCTAAAGCCAACATGCATCAGTTTCTATAAAAATGCAATGGGGAATATAATAGTGGTCTCTTAAAGGGGAATTCCACTGATATTTCAAAACTTCTGCATAGTTCAATTTTTACAACGTAAACAAAGTAATTCAGAGTGGACGGATGTGAAATGTTCCATTTTAGAGAAACTAGAGTCAGGATAGTTCAGAGCTGTGGTGATAGGAACCAGACGTCTGGGGAGTTTAATGCTTCTAAAAACTAACACACAAAGTTATTACATGAAATATTTACATTCCCTGGTGCCTGAGACATTGTTTTATAATAGCTTTATGAAGATTTTGGCCTAAAAATATTGTTTTAACTTAATTCTTTTCATGATGGGCAGGTACATGGACAGGCGTTGTAAGGCAAAACAGTCCCAGAAAGTAAACGTTTTGGATGTACTACCGTTTTATTATTAATATTACACATATAAACTCAGAAGACACGTCTAGGTTCTCTGGTCATTTTGTATAGTAAATAAAATGGCTCTATTTGTCTTGGTCCTCTGGTTCCCATCATCATCTGTGAGTGAGAATTGTTCGCAGTGGTATTGATAAGGACCAGATATGGGAAGAGTTTAATGCCTCTAAAAGCTTACTCACAGAAAGTTATTACATTAAATGGCTATATATATGCTGCCTGATGTCTTACACATTGTTTTATGATAGTTTGTGATCAGGCTTTGGCCTAAAACGCCTTGTTAATCCATTTTAATGCATCCATGGCAGAGGGGTATGTGCAAGGCATTGTAAGGCAAAATAGTCCTTCAGAACAATGTTTGTCCAGATTTTCCACATTTTTGCCATCA